AGACCAGTTGACTTTTCATTGACTGTTTATAAAGATAGAAATAGTTATATCATTAAACCATACGATGACGAAGGTAAGTTATGTAAATTGTACGTTAAGAAGTTAGAGAAAGTTTATGGCTTCAAGTATGACTACAATAGGGTTAACACTGATGATGAAGATATTGAGGAAAATTTATGAGAACATTAGTGAAGTTGTTAGTGAGAACGATAGTGAGGTGAAATTGTTGGCGGCTTTGTAAATATTTAAGGTTAAGTTAGTTTTTGCGTTCATGTTGTAAAATATACGTTAACGGTTTTGTAAAGTGTCAAATTCACAAGTATTGGGTAAGGTGGAACGCAGTGCCACCATACCCAAGACTTGTATACTAACTAACGACTTACAAACTACATTCTGTCAAAACTTTCAAAATACCCCTTCAAAAAATATCCTTCAAACACTCTGCTCGTTTGTGACGACTTCGCTGGTAAAGGTTTAGTGTCAAAGCCTGACTCACCATTAGCTAACATCATTACTAAAGTCAGAAATTACCATTTAACTGTAGCAATACTTATGCAAACATGGAGGTTTTTAGCTTTAAACATAAAACGTCTCATAACTGACTTCGTTATCTTTCAAGGTTTCTCACGCTATGACATTGAACTCATTTGGAAACAGTCAGGTATAACATTACCTTTTGAAGAAATTTGGGAAGCATATAAGTCTCTCATCTCTCCTCGTTCATACCTTGAGATTCATATCATGACTAATACCATTAAAGTCAAAAATATTCCATGGGAACGACCAACATTGTTTTAAATCTTATGCTTTAATTGACTGATGGTAAACAAATTCCATGCATCTCTGTCGCCATTTCTGTTAATATTTTTGCTGTCATTCATATCATCCACTTCCCCATCCGTTAGCTTTTGAGGATATGCGTTAGAATAGCTGTTCTTAAATGAAGGCTTTTCACCTTTGAGAGCATAAACTCTATAACTTTCTGCATACTTTATGTTTGAACCTCCTGAGCCATCATTGACATAAATTTTTATAGGCTTCCACCCTTTGTTCATATTCCTGCTTCTTCCCTTAGCTCTTTTGTTCAGTAGTTCTACATCTTTATACACAGCTCCTGTCTCAGTGAATTCAACAATATTTTCATTCGTTAGCTTTACATTCAAACCCTTGTCGAGTATATTGTTCATTTCATACATATAAAAGGTTTTTATTCTATATGAAATGAGAAGCAAATCCATCTTAGCTGGTGCCGTTAATGTTCCAATTGAACTAACATCAAATATTGACTCACGAACGACAAACAATATTGTCATAAAGAACTATAGTTCGGAGTGTTTGAAAGAAAAAGAACCAGATCTTAAGTCGGTGAATTTAAACACAACTTCAAACGCTAACGCTACATCAGATGTTAAGTTAGAGTATCCACCACTGGACCAAATTCTTTCAAGAGAAGCCAACGACAACCCTTACACAAATGTTCAAACAAATCCTTCAGATAACGTAGACCATTACCTTCTTCAGTTATACCAAACAATTTTACTCAAAGACGATAAGAAGCTTTTGACAAATCTTATAAGTAAGAACCAAATAATTCTAACAAAGGAGGACCTTGAAAATGTTATCTCACGAATAACAGGGAAACAATGTGTCATTGACTATCTCGACCCTGAAATCGAATGCTGTGGTCAAACTCCACTATTCATGAAAATAGGTAACATCCGCATCATTGAAACACCAGGAACTACAGGAGTTGAGTTTAAGTATAAATATTCGAACGAGTATATAAAACTATCTACTTACTATAAGCTTTGTTTGAAATATGTTTTAGTAAATTAAAGCAGTCAGGACCTTCGGTCTTGGCGCTTTGCGCCGTCAGTCAAAAAAATTTCAAGTTAGCAATTTGTAATATCTATCCAAAACTTCTTCAACAGTATCGAACTCATCTTCATAATGCAAACCTAATCTTATTGACTTGGTGCAGTTTTCACTAACACAATATTTTTCTGTTCTCTTGACTGACATAACTAATTCATTTGTTTCATCAAACAGCAACAACCAAAGTTCATGACCTAATACATAACATTCATACTTTATATTTTTAGCTCTGAGTTCTCTTGTAAGCTGTTGCATTTAATATTTTCTAAAAAGTCAACTTCAACAGTCATTCGCACTGGTGCCTTCAGTTCTACAGGCTCTCCTTGAAAGTCAACAAGTCTGAATTGCATGTCTTTCAAATTATGAGGACTAATGCGAACCCATTTACCTAAATGAGTTGCTATGACAGGAACGTTTGGAATGAACATTGAATTTACTTCATAACAGAAGGATTTATATTCTACTGAACCTTTACTATTAACTCCTGAAATGCCTGTGACATTAGCTATTTTTGACTCAATGTATAAACAATTACCATAACATACGTATGGAACAGATTTCATCTCAATCGTTTTGTCAACACTTTTCAAAGGAAATGTCATATGGTATGCACCCAAAAGAAGTTGTACTCTATGACTCATTCGTGTTATCTTAAACTCCTTCACATAACTGAACTTCAAAACTCCTGCAATAAGTTTAACATTCATTAAGTTTTCTTCGTTATCCTTGTTTATTGTAGTATTTATGAGAGCATTTAACACTCCAGCTAATGTTTCCATCTTATATTCTACATTATTGTGAAATCTTATTTCGTGCTTCTTTCCATCTATTTCAATTTCCATGAAATCTGTTTCATCTGTTATGACAAAAGTTGCGATAGTATTGAAGTCAACAACTCTGAATGCAAGTGGCTCATTCTGAAGTCCTAAGTTTGTTTGTAGCTTTACTGTTCCGTATTCGTTTGGGTCTGTATTTTGCAAATAGAACAACATTTTATTCTCATTAAAATATGACTATTGCTGCATATGCGTATGAAACAAATGAAGCAAGAAGAGCACATGAACTAGTAAACGAAAACTCAACTTTAACCATTGAAGGCAATGATTTAGTCATTGACGATGGAAAAACTAAAAAAATCATTGATTTCGATACTTTTAACACGTATGACCCATTCATTACAATAAGTAAAGTTCCCATCATAAATGATGGAACGGTGCAATATATAAATTCTACAGTAGATGCCTCATTAGTGAAAGTATTAAATGTTCTCATTGAATTGTTAAAGAACTTTCGATTTGACGACAACATTAAATGCCTAAAGAATTTAGTCATGAATGAGAAACAAATTCTCGGCGTTGCTGGTAGCAATAATGATGTATACCTTATGACATTAGAATATTATAACGAACATAAAGATGAACTGAAAGGAGAGAAGGGTGACACCGGACCTCAAGGACCACAAGGAATACAAGGAATACAAGGAATACAAGGACCTCAAGGCGAAAACGGTTTGGATGGTGAAGATGGAAAGGATGGAAAAACTGCTAAATCATGGATATGGAACCTTATAAATACTGGTTTAACAGCTGCTTCATATGGAGTTCTTCAATACCAGATCGGAAAGATATGGGCAGTACTTGGTGAAGAAGTTTTAGATGACGTTAAAAATGCTTTGAACTTCATTTCAAATGGTTCGGATACTATTAAAACTTTATCTGATTGGATGCAAGAAACAAGGAGTCAAATAGATACTGTAAGACATATAGCAAACAATGCACGTACGGGATTGGATACTTTACGAGAAGCACAAAATACACTAAAGGAAGCAAATGATATTCTTGGCTCAGTATCAGACATGCATGAAGATTGGCTTAAAGGTATTGACAAATCTTTAAAAAATCACAGTCAGTCTATTGCTGACTACAAGAAAAGTATAGATTTTTTACATAGTGCTATGGATGTACATGATGGAAGCATAAGGAACTTACTTAATGCTAACAATAACTTACCAGGAACTATTAAAGCATTTATAAAGTCCTTTGTAAAACCTGGTGCTCTAACATTTAGGTCTTTGAGAGCAAGAGCATTGAAGTCAAGAGATGCAGAAACTCCAACAGAACCTACAGAAGGAACTGAAACAACAGAAACTCCAAAGAAACCACCAAAACCAACAGCTAATGAAATATTGTTCGAATATTTTCCAAGGTACTCTTCTCATTGCATACATTCAAGAAATACTTAAGAAAGCAGACTTGACTTTAGGAGATGATGAAAGTTCTGTATATCTTTAGTTCCAGTTTCAAATAGCAGAACTTTTGAGACAGATATGCTTAATGTATGACAACATCTCTGATTTCACAAGATATGATGACGACCATGACCCCGAACACGGTGAAGAAGAAGTTTTACAAACATCCATTAAGACAGAAAGGTTTTAACTCAAAGTCTCATTATTGACACCAAAGATGGCGAAGTGGACGTTCTGCAAGAGCTGAAGAAAAATACTTCTTCGGAGGTGGTGGTAGGCATGAACTTGAAATAAATGAGATAGAAGAGAAATTAGCCGAAAAAGCAGATAAAAACCATGTTCATTATATAACTTCAGACGAACAGATTATAACGGACTACCATGGATATTTAACACAGGATGAACAAATAAGCACTGAAGATGTTAATGAAAGAAGATATAAATTCATTCGTGCTAAAGGTTATGACATACACTGTACTGTACAGTATGACACAGGTAAAGCACCAGAAGCATTTGGTTATAACAATGAAATTTATGCTTCATACTTCTTTGTTAACGGTGTATTAGTTGAACCAATATTTACTTTGAGAGTTAAGGCAAAAAATAACTTTTGAAGATGCTATTAAAAGTAAAGCCAGCAAAGATGAACTTTGAAGCAATGAACAAAGTTTTGAAATCTCATAAACACAATATCTCCGATATAAATGAACTTCAAGCTACATTAAATAGTAAAGCTGACAAGAACCATACACATGAATCCTTCACTACTGTTAGAGCAGACGACATAATATTGAACTATACCCTTGGTTCAAGTGCACCTTTAGAGAATCCAAGTACAAGCGTAAAAGATACACTAAACAATTTAGATAACAGATGTATGAACATTGAAGGTCATGCCAGAAACTTTGAAACACATGAACTACCAGCAATGTTAGATAAGAAAGCTGACAAAGAACATACACATAAATCCTTCACTACTGTTAGAGCAGACGACATAATATTGAACTATGATTTGGGTTCAAGTGCACCTTTAGAGAATCCGAGTACAAGCGTAAAAGATACTCTTAACAATTTAGATAACAGTTGCAGGAATATCGAAGGTCATGCCAGAAACTTTGAAGCATATGAACTACCAGCAATGTTAGATAAGAAAGCAGACAAAACAGAGCTTCAAACATTAAAGACTGAAATACTTCAAACATTATATCCTATAGGCTCTATTTATACGTCAATGAACTCAACAAATCCAGCAACAGTTCTGGGTTTTGGTACGTGGAAGCAGATTGTAGATAAATTCTTATACTGTGCTAACTCTTCAAAGCAAACAGGAGGTTCGAAGAAAATTAAAGAAGCAAACCTTCCACCGCACACTCATACAGGAACTACAAACACAACAGGTAGTCATTCACATTCAATAACAAAAAGAGGTTATACAAATCTTGCAGCAGGTTCGGATAGACAGGGAATGAATAGATATGATATTTCAAGTGACCCAGTAGATTCAAGCGCAGGTATTTTCTGTGGAACCACAGGAAATCATTCACACACTTTCACAACAAATCCAACAGGCTCGGGTGCAGATTATATGCCACCATTTGTGACTATATTCGCATGGTACCGCGTTCATTAAACACGCTTGAGCCTTGAATAAAATCTTTAACTTTACATAAATGAGCTTGAAAGAAGTATTCGAACAACATCCATGGAGGTCATTTAAGAAGTTCAATGAAGCTGCAAAGAGTTGGGGATTTACTAACAGAGCTGAAGTGAAAAGGTTCTTTGACAAAAATGTTGTACATCAAACAAAAATAAACCCTTACGACTACTTTTTACCAATTTACTCCAACACTTCTGACGCATACCAATTTGACACTCTCATTCAAAGCAGAAAAGGAGGACATAAACCATTCCTCATCTTCATAAATGTTAACACTCGCAAAGCTTTTGCGTATATAATGAGAAATAAAGGAACTCGTGAAGTGTTAAGAGTTTTACAAAAGTTTGTAGCAGAACATAGCCCAAGTACTTTAGCATCAGACCAAGACGGTGCATACCTCAGCAATGAAATCACAGAATTTCTCATTAAGCATAACATAACTCACTACACTACTGAAGACCATAACCATAACATACTCGGCATCATAAACCGCTTCATAAGAACGCTCAGAGATTTAAACCAAGAGCGAGACTTTACCGAAGAAACAATGAAACATTTTCTCGAAGTAATATTCCTCAACACATTCTACAACAGGACATACACCAAATTCAATGACAACAACAAGAAGAAAAGTATATACAAAAGAAACGAAGCCAAACACAAAATATCAGAAATTCAACACAATTTACCCTCATTCCTGGTACAAAAGTTCGTGTAGTTCTTGACGACAAACCGTTGACAAAGAAACGTTTAAGGTTAAGTAGAAACTATTATATCGTAGACTCTACGCAAGGTAATGAATATCTTATAAAAGCTGCTGACGACTCTATTGCGTTTTATCCTCGTCATAAATTAGTCGAAAGTAGTAATGGCAAACTTGCTGAAACCATTGACGAAGCAAAGCGAGGAGTGGTTATTGAAATACTTGGCTATAACATAAACGATGACACTTATAAAGTAAGATATGAAGGAGGCGTTGAAGATGTTATACCATCTAAGAACTTGAGAGAGTCAAAGCCAACACATCTGGGACCATTAGAGCGGGAGTACTGGAAAGACAAAAATAAGCCAGAAAGAATAAGAAAATTCTTCTAAACTTTTTCATTAGATGTAAATCAGACATGAATGAGAACAGTCATGTATTATTAATGGTACCATAAATTTACACCAAAAATAATGTTTAGGGTAGATGGTTAGATCTAACCCGATTTCTAACCTCATTTCTACCCTCATGATAATTCTTCTAAACTTTTTCATTAGATGTAAATCAGACAAAGCATTTACCAGAAAGAATAAGATAATTCTTCTAAACTTTTTCATTAGATGTAAATCAGACAAAAATATATTTTAGGTGAAGAGGTGAGATTTCACCTGTTTTCTCACCTCTTTTTTCACCCTCGCCGCTTAGCGGCTCAGACCCTTTGGGTCTCGTGAATTTTCATGAATTTCCTTAAGATAGAAAAAATAAAGTTAGTTTTATTTTTATTTATTTTTTTATTTTGTATAAAAGATATGATTTCAACAATCGGCACAACAACAATTCAAGCCACGAACGGCGGGACTCTGTCCACAACTACAGCACCAAACTCGCTAGTCATGAATCCTACGTCAATGTTGGTAGAGATGAAAAGCTTTATTCCTTCTTCATATACTTTTGAAACAGAAATCCAGAAGATAAAGCAAGAACTTTTAACAAGTAATTTAGACTGTAGTGCGAAAGATGAAACAAATGAACAGTATCTTTATGAAATGGAGGACCTCATCGACCATTTGCCTAAACTACCTGAAATTCAGCAGCAAAAACTAACTATTCCTGAATTCGACGAAATTGAAGTCAAAGCAACTGACTCAGTAGAAATTAAGAAATTCATACGTAAAGTAAATTATGAATTCCTTGGTTTTCATTGCAACCATAAAGTTATGGACAAAGATTGCGACATGGTTTATAAAAATATTTCTGACCTTTACAAATCCGAAGAATTTAAGACATACGATAACTTTGTTTCATTAGTTGCAAAATGTGTATGGCAGATAAGAGATAAAGATAGAAGAGGTAAAGTATGGAATGAACAAATAAGACCAACTGCTTTTGAGTTAAAGAAAACCATTGACGCCTTAGTTGTTTTAGCAGGTAAGGTTTCAGAATATAACGCAAAAATGAATCCGCAATGTTCTAAATGTAAAGCAGCAATTAGGAAATATAACTACTCCGTCAAAGAGATAGAAAGAATGCGAAACGACTATGCAGACTTAAAGAAAGAAGCAGAAAAGCCAGCAGAAGATAAAATGGATATGTTGACATTTCTTAATAAAAACTATCCAACAGCAGAAGATTTCCTTCTGTCTGACGTCAAGAAGAAATATAAAGAGACTTTCGGCATGATTAAAACATTCGATGTACTAAAAGAAGAAATAGAAGCTACGAAATTGTTTAGAATCTCACGAATTCATAACGCTTACCATGTAAAACGTTTATAAAATAACTGGGGTAGAAATGAGGGTAGATATCGGGTTAGATCTAACCATCTACCCTAAAATATATTTTTATTGAATTCAGCAACAAAATTCTGAGTAAAATAATTTTTAGGGCACGTGTCAAACCGTTGAGTTTTCACAAAATTCCAAAAATAACGTTTACCATGTAAAACGTTTATAAAATAACTGGGGTAGAAATGAGGGTAGATATCGGGTTAGATCTAACCATCTACCCTAAAATATATTTTTATTGAATTCAGCACAAAAATAATGAATTTCCTTAAGACAGAAAAAATAAAGTTAGTTTTATTTTTATTTATTTTTTATTTTGTATGTAAAGACAGTAATGTCAACATCAGAGAACACAACAACTGCTATCGTTCATGAAGCCATAAATGAAGAATACGAGTACATACAGTATAACAAACAATTGAGACTCATTCGTTCGGTCAAAGATGACATGTACCAAATGCAAAGTATAATGAACGCTCTTCGTTCTACAAAGCAAGCATATCATTGGTTTGAAAACCAACAGACAAAAGAACTTTTAGAAGAATTTCCTCATATGATTGCTTCCCTCGGAAAAACCGGGGAAGAGATTCCGTATGAAAAATCGCAAGAATTTGGCTCCTGGTTTGAAAGGTTATTATGTTCATAGACTTTTAGTAAACGCTGTAGCAATGTGGGCTTCACCTCGTTATGCTTGTTATATTTTCATGATGTTAGATGAACTATATAAAGCAGAACGTGGAGAGATGGAAAAGAAACTTCATGCAAAAGATGAAGTCATTGAATCCAAAGACAAAAGCATACAGAAAAGAATACCGCGTTCAGTACCAAAAGGAAAGGAAAAGAGTTATAAGTATATGATTTACACTGAAGAGTTGGAGAAAGAAGAAGATAAAGATATGGTTATGTTGCATTTAGTCAGAAGAAACAACAAGAGCTTTTATGACTTAGCTAAAATATATAAATCTGACAGAAACTGGTTCTATCGTGAAAACTTACCGATTTCAATGACACCGAATGAGCAAATAAAGGAAAATTGTCAAAAATACTTCTTCTCTCAAACACACTATGACATCAAATGGTTGCACAATACTTACATTCAAAGAAGACTTAACATTACTGAAGGAAAAAAATAACAGAATATTTCGATAACTTCAAAGAGGAAGAATAAAAAATCTAAGCTAATTTTATTTTTTTTATTAAAATTTATTCATCATATGAAAGAACATGAATTTAGAATATTCGGAACTCATGACAGAAGAAGAGAACGAACAACATGTAAAAGATTATGCAAAATTTTCTGAAGACATACAAAGCATTTAAACAATATCTAAAAGCTTCTAAAGATTATGCAAAATTTCTGAAGACATACAAAGCTTATGAAAAAGCGTATGAAAAGTTATACATTGGGGAATTGTTGTAAAAATCGATATGAAGACTAACCAAAATATATTTTTGCTTAAATAGCTTCAGGGTCTATTTTCTTCAACCATTTCACTTCCTTCGTCAATGTCAATAGAAGCTTCTTCAACCTTTGGTAAGAATTTCTGTATAACATCTTTGTTCGTTATTGTCTTCAGAGATGAAGGATAATATTTCACATTTGTTTTCACCCTTCTTATATTCTTTCTGTTCGGAAAGATTTAAAGCAATACTGAAGAAGTCAATATTAGAGTTCTTTATAACAGTATAATGAGTATCTTTGACATTCACGAAGAAACTCTTTTGTTTCAAAACTACTGCTAACTCTTGTGAAGTATAACGTTTGCGGTCAATGACGATAGCTAATGGTCTGACATACTGACCAAACTTAGATTCTTTCACAAACTTCTTGTTAAAGATAACATTAACATTTGAAGCATTATTGAACTCATTCTTGATGGCAGTAGCGAGAGCATTGTATGAAAAGAACTTGCAATCTTGCATGTGTTTCATTAAAATAAAATATTAAATTATTTTGAAAAATAACTTAAAAAAATCTAATCTAATTTTTTCAAAAATATTTTTTTATTTCCTACTAAAGATGTATCGGAAGTTGTCTAAGTTAGAACACTCGGAAATAAACAACTTTTACAGAAGCTAATATAGATGTTGCAAATCATTACGCAACAAACAAAAAAGCACTCGCTGACATCCTCAATGACTATAATGGTGCAATAAGTTATGATAGAATTCATGAGTTCATAAAGCCGCAACGCGCGAGGACGAAGTCCATGCAAGAGCATTTCCTTTAAATGACGTTGCTATTGACTTATATCATAGACGTTCAGTACCTCATGAAGTAAGAAGAGAAATATTTGACATAACAAATGCAAACGTTGGTGAAACAAGAAGAAGAGACGACACACTGAAACAACAGAGAAGAGAGATGTTTAAGAGCGCTATAGAACAAGTTCGCAAAGCTAACAATGTCATTCGTTCCATTGACGACAAACCAAAAGAAGGTGAGAGATGGTTAAAGAAAGATGAAGAGAATAGGAAGAGAAATGTGAAGTCAGGCAATAGACTCATTGACTTTAACATCGAAGCTTTAGATGAACCAAAACAGAGACTACTTACACAAACATTTCGGTAAGGTTTTCATGAGACTCTTAGAGAAAATTAAAATAAACTCACAACAGAGATGGATGGTATGTTATAAACTTGGTGGAAAGTATGAATGTTCTACGTTAAACCTCAATAATATTGGAACATTACTACATCAGCTCTTGAAGGAGAACTTTATATCAGAGATAGAAGCAAATGCCGCAGGTATTGTTGAAATGCACTATGACTTCTTCTTGACAAACATAAAGAATCTTACTGAAATAAAGATGTATGATTTAACAGAATATGAAGGCTTAACGATGTCAGATGTAAAGAAAGGCAAACCAAAAAAGAGACCATATAGAGATGAAAGCACCACTGACAAATGACCAGAAAGCCATTTTGGAAAGCTCTTAAGCAAACAGGAAACCAGCACTTATAGAAAGCTTTTGGAAAGATAATGGTGAAAAGAAGTTTTATAAGAAGAGAAGCGGTCAGTTCTGGAAGTATCTTTGCACATTACCTATAAATCTTGAACGCTACCAAATCTTCAATGAACTGAACAAAAGAACTGCAGCACTTATGACAGAAGACAATTGTTTCGTTTATGCTTGCATTCAGGCTGGAGTAAATGAAGAAACTATTGACCACATGAGAGAAGTCATTCGTGTTAGAGACTTTCCTCAAAGTAAAGTACAAGAAATTTCTGATGCAACAGTATAGCATTTAATGTTACCATTGGTTACTTCAATGACTCAAGACATAATGAAATAAAGAGATACATACCAAAAGAATGTGAAACTGTTCGAACTATTGACTTACTTCTTGTTGAAGACCACTACATGCTAAATGAAAGATTACCAATGACAACATATTTCATTCGCAACTATATAGAAATTCTCAAAGCTTGTGGTGGAATGAACATTGAGAAACAGATGAAGATTTATACAAAGAGAGAAGATAAATATGTAGTTCGTTATGATAGAACAACACCGTTTATGGGATGTTATGAAAACATTGTGGGAGTGCAAATATTTCGAACCTATTTCTTATGGAGAACTTTTCAACATATACGACTGACTTATATAAACAGAACCTTGCACCATTTAAAGATTTGACATATGCTCCAAAGTATTGTGTACAACTGAAGAAGAAAGCCGAGTCAAAAGAAGTAAATAAAGCTAAATGTAAGTTCATTCCTGAGCACGTTTTCTTTTGCTGACTTTGAGTGTAGCACAGACGGCTTTCATAAAGCTTTTAACATCTGTTATGACAGTGAAGATGGTTCAGTGAGTGAAAGCATTTGGGTCAGAACTGTGCAACAGAATTTTTGGAACGACTTCCTGACAAGAATTTAATATATTTCCATAACCTCAGTTATGATATAAACTTCATCTTAAGACACATGACAGAAGTGAAAGGAATCCCATCATTAAAGGTTCACGAACAATGCAAATAACTGGCTTATATAAAGGAAGGGCAATTATTATAAAAGACTCTTACAGTGTTATAAATAAGAAGCTTAAACTATTTCCTGCTATGTTTAACTTACAAACAGGACCGAAAGAAGTATTTCCATACAACTACTACAGCGCAGTGTTTGTTAGCAAATGACAACAGAACTGGTTGTCATTTCTGAAGCATGTAAGCTTATCCAGATGCAGATACATTTATGAAAAACATAGATTCCATCAAAGGTTGCAGAATAGATGAAAACCACTTCGACTTAGAAAAATATAGCACATTTTATTGCAAACAAGATGTAAGAATTTTAAGAGAAGGTTTTGTAAAGTTCCGCAATGACTTATTGAAAGAATTTGATTTAAACGTTTATGACTACGTTAGTATTTGTTCAATTGCTAACAAATTATTTGAGAACAGAGTGTACTTCCCGAATGGAAATTTATATGACCTCTCAAATAAACCAAGAGAATTTATTTCACGCTGTATTCAAGGTGGAAGATGTATGCTGTCAGATAACATGAAACAAAAGAGCGAAAAGAAACTCATTGCTGATTTCGACGCTGTTTCATTATATCCATCAGCTATAGCAAGACTTTATACTTTAGAAGGTATTCCAAAGGTTATGAAGAAAGAAATGTTAAGCACAGAGTATCTCATGAGACATTTATTCGATGACGACCAAAAGGAACCCATTGGTGAAAAGTTTATGTCTGGCTTCTTTGTTCTCATTAAGATAACAGAGATTGGAATACATAGACACTTTCCTTTAATAGTTTGTGACCCTGAACTAAATCCAGAACTTAACGTTCCCAGAAGTTCAAACACTTGCTGTTTAATGTATGTTGACCATATAACATTACAAGACCTCATAAAATATCAAGGTGTCAAATGTGAAGTGTTGCAAGGATACTATTACGATGGAAACAGAGATATTAGAATAAGAGATGAAGTAAAGAAGTTGTTTGAGTTAAGGTTAAAGTATAAGAAAGAAGGAAATCCTTTGCAAGAAAATATAAAGCTCATTCTGAACAGTATTTATGGCAAAACTATTCTATCTCCTATTGAGTCAAAAATAACCATAGTAAATGACAAAGATGCTATAAGATATGCCATCAGAAACTACAACCATATAGTGAAGTTCGAAGGTTTGGATGGTTCAGATAAAACTATTTTCAAGCTAACGAAAAGCATTTGCAGACACTTTAACTTCTGTCCACTTGGTGTTAACATTCTGTCTATGTCGAAGAGAATAATGTGTGAAGTATTCTGTACTGCTGAGGACTTAGGAATGGACATCTTTTATAGCGATACGGACAGTATGCATCTCTACAATGAAGATATCCCTCGTTTAGCTGAAGAGTTTGAGAAACGTTATGGAAGAGTTCTCATTGGTAAAAACCTTGGTCAATTTCATAGCGACTTTGCAGAAATCACAAAAGATAAACAAAGTTTAGCATACAAGTCAATATTTTGTGGAAAGAAGACTTACATAGACTTACTCACGAATGATTTAAATGAAGTTGCATTTCACTGCAGAATGAAAGGCGTGAAGCAAGATGTTATTGCTTTAACCGCTAATGAAATGTTTCCTGACTCTGTTCAGTGTTTCTATGATGAAGATAAAGGTTTAATGGTTCCGCAAGGAACATATGACAAAGACTCTGAGTTCAGTTTAATGAAACTTTACAAAGCACTTTATGACGGTCAAGAGATTGGATTTGACTTATGTAAGTCATGTCAACCTTGCTTTGAAGAAAGTTTAACTTCTCAATAACGACTAAAACAAGCTTTATTCGTAAGTTGAAGTTCTGAGGTCATTTATTTTTGTCAGCAATGAGGTCATTCGTGATAAAAATAAGCCGCTAGCGGCAAGGGCGAAGCCCATGTGGTCATTTACAATACTGCGATGGTAGAGTTTAAGAGTTGTGCTTCAATGTAGAGACAGTCCTTATGGTCTGGAGGTAAGAACACTGGGCTTATGGTCATGAGTGGAGAACATGTCTATCCAAAACTCACGATTGAAGCCAGTTAATTTATAGTATTTAGGGTTAGGAAGTGGTGAAGTTCTTGTATGACCAATGAACTCATTTTCAACTCCCTTACTTAAGTTTGAATATAATATAGCTTGCTTTCTATCCCAAATGCCTGGAAATCTAATTTGAAAATTCATTTTTCCTCGGAAGCATTGCATCATAATTGAAAACATTCTTGAAATCATCACTTGGTTCAGAGATTTGAAATCTTATACGTAATGGATTTTCTTTCTTTTTAGCGACTTCATTGAATGGTGAGAATACAATGAATTGACAGTCATGAGTTCCATCTTCATTTTCAAAATTCATAATGAAAGTCTATAAGTTTTCTACACCTTCTTCTTTCAGTTGTGCAAGAAACTCACGTAAAGGCTGTAAAGTTTGTACTTCAATGTTAAACTTTTTTGAAATTTCATTAAATGAATCATACATTTCTAACGTGTATCGTCTTTAAAGTATTTGTATATGTGAATGTTTTGGGCGCTTAAAGACTGTTCGTCATTTTCTATCTCGACTTGAAGTATAAAGTCAACCTTTCTGAAAGCACGTGTTATATACATAGATGTTATGCCAATGTACTTCTCTTCATTTATGTTCACAATCCAGTCTGTTGGAAACTTAAACGTTACTCTGTTCCCCTTTATTTTGACGTCAGGGTTTTCACTACTGAACGCAACAGATAAAGGTATTTGTCTATACATTTAATTCGGATAAAAATAAACCATTTACTCTTTCTTTGCTTCAGCTTCTTTAGCTTTTGCTTCAGCTTCTTCTCTAGCTTTCTTCGCCAGCAAACGTGGGTTCTTTTGTCTTCCAGCAGCTAATGCAGCAAGTTGTTTTTCACTAAGTTTTCTCTTTGGTCTCTCTGGCTTTTGTTCTTGTTTTTGTTCCTTCAGTTCGGATAAAATTTGCTCACGAATTTCTTTCTTCAATGCTTCAACATCTATGACCCCTTGGGTCTTGTCCGTAGGGCTTGTCTGAGTCATTTGACTGCAGATAAAAAACAAAATTAAAACTTTAACCGATGTAAAATGAGCTTGTCAAAATCAGAGCGAGAGTCTATTATATTAAATGACGCAAGAGGAATACAACATCCTTTCTATTACGTAAGTCAGAGTAAAGATGGTAAAATATACGTAAGAAAAAGAAAGGTTCCATTAGCGAATGCAGAAAGCGACAACATTAAGGTGTATGGCAAGGGTGAAGTCCACGAAGCCCATATAAAACCTTCTGTTCAAACTGAAAAGTCAATAGAACAGAAGAAAAGAAGCCAGATGTACTTTCAATAACGAACCAAGAGCTTATTGCAAAGTTCGTGAATTTCATTGAAAAACAAACCGAGTCAAAGAACCCTGACCCGCCAGTGAAAGAAGTTGAGACAAAAGAGAATGTACAGTTCATTGAAAATGTCAAGAAACAACTTCCACCACGAATGCCAAGAAGAAGAGTGAGAATAATGAAGTAAATAGATATTTTTATCTGAAGTAAATACATGCAGAACGAACAGCTAAACGAATTTACTCCAGCAGAGCATATTCATCAGATTCGCTCATATTTCGATATCATAGACAATGCAGTTCAAATTGGTGACACTAATAGAAAATATTCTGACGCAAAGATTCCATCACAACCTGGAACTGCTAAAGATAACACATGGGTAACATTCAATCTCTCACCTCCTGGTGAAAATATGTTGGACCTTTACAATACATTCATTACGTATAAAATGGAAGGTCAATTTATTGTAGATAAAGAAATTGGTTCAGGTTCCAATAAAACAAACCCACCAGGATTTTGGATTGGTTTCGATGACGCTTTCTATGCAGTTGCTGGATATCAAATCCTTGCAAATGGTCGTATCGTATATTCTCAAGACAACGCAAGAGAAGAAGCATATATAACTTCAAACTCACAAACTACCGAACAAATAAAGAAAGTAGATGTTTTCTCAAAGACTCGACATGAAGATGTATGGAGTCATTCGGGAACATGCAGAACAGGACAAATTGTTAGTGGTCCAATTACAGCAGGAAAATCATTTGATTTTAAGCTTCGTTTAAGAATTCCTGTTAGAAGATTCCTTCCATTAGAAGCTATTCGATTTATTCCAGCTTTTGCAGGAAACATTCAGCTTAAAGTAAAGTTCAGTAGCGACGCCTTACAATGCACATCTATATCTGTAAATGATATCATTGCTTTCAATCCAACTCTTAAAGTTGCATTTGCTTCAGATTCAAATCCACCGACAAATAAATTTGTTCCATGGAATGAACCATTCACTATGATAACGAAGGCAGTAGAAGCTAGTGGAACAGTTACTATTACAACTGTAACCCAGCAACTATTTCGAACAAAGATGGATTTTAATGAATGTTTCATTCATCCAAAGTCATTCTCTTTAGACCCTAACATTTATACAGAACTTGTAGAACATTATACAAACGAGGCTTTATGTTTTCCTGTTAAAGTTATGGATTGGATTCCTATGGACGGTTCATTCTCAAAGAATACAGATAGTTCAAGTGCAACATTTACAGCAGCTTATACGCCTATTAATGTTAAAAGTATTTGGGCACTATTTAGAAAGAAAGACAACTATTATGTTAATTTTGAGAACCCTAAGTTTAAATATCTTCAGCTTTCCATGGGAGCTTATGGAAATATGCCTGCAGAACCTGAAAAATCATATGGACCTGTATTTTATGAAATGGTTGCGAACGCTTGCAATACAAACAATGATATGATAGGATTTAATGAAGATGTTATGAGGTCATTGGTGGATGATGGTAGTGTGGAACATAAATGGGATAGCTATGACAACACACATTTCTTATGTGGTTTTCCAACAGAAGTGGACTTTTGCTTCCAGCAAGGTCAAACATCTACTGCTCCAATAACATACAAATTGTCTGTTAAAGGACCTATTGAACTAGCAACTGAAAATGTACCAAAGCCACTTATTGGATTTATGAGGGATTGTTGCTTTGCCATTCAGGTGCGTGCTAATGGCATCCCCATAATAAGATTAGATGACTATAACTTAGCTACGGACGACAGTGAGGAATAAAGGATGAACGTTTATTTTTAAAGCTTATAAATGAGTTCTTCATCAAGCTCTCGTGAACCTTCACCATCTATGAAACAAACTTTACCAAACGATTATGGAGCACCTATTGAATATTTCTTACGAGCTGCACAATGGCAAAGAGCAGTCTCACCAAGGTTAGGTGTTCCACCAGCTCCTGTCAAAAATAGCATTTGGTCAAGTCCTTATATAAAATGGTCTCCCACTAGGTTTGCTAGCTACAGCAGGAGCAGTTATGATGTTGAAAAGAAATAAAGCAAATGTTGTAAATAATACTGAAGTAGCTGAAGTTAAACAAACTCCAACACCTTCGCCAAAACCAACGCCTTCACAAGCAAAACCTTCAATGACTCCTGAACCTATGGAAGTACAAACTCCTGTTCAAAAGTCAACTCCTAAACCGACTCCAACATTTAAACCAGAACCTACTCCTCAAATAAATCGTAAAACTCCTGCGTTTCCTTACTGAAAAAATAACGTTATTTTTATTTAATATTAAAATTTTTATTTGATTGAAATGACAAATAAAGTCACTGAAGCAATGAAACAAAAGTTTTTGGTAGAATACATTAAATCAGGAACTATTCCAGAAGGTTTTTACATTCATACTATGAAGGATGGTAGAGTTCAGTTTAGAAAGATAAAGCAACCATTAGATAAAGAAGGAATTTTGAGAAAGATTAAACTTCATGAGGACAACATTGCTGAACTTAAGAAGAAGTTAGAAGAGTTGGAGAAAGGAAGAGAGTTATAAAGCAATGAATTCAACAGGGTGAAAAAAGAGGTGAAAAAAGAGGTGAGATCTCACCACTTCACCTAAATTTATTTTTGTGCTATGTTTTCATACGTGTGAGGGTGGTGATATCATTAATTTTAAGTTTATTTTTTTTTTGAAAATTTTTATTTGGATGTAAATGACAGAACAAAAGCAACTCATTCGAAATCCACAGTATAACAAACATACATTTAAACATTTATTCTTCCTTCCTGAGCATAACATGTTCTTTCAAATACATCCGAGACCAGTTGACTTTTCATTGATTGTGTATAAAGATAGAAATAGTTATATCATTAAACCATACGATGACGAAGGTAAGTTATGTAAATTGTACGTTAAGAAGTTAGAAAAAGGTTATGGCTTCAAGTATGACTACAATAGGGTTAACACTGATGATGAAGATATTGAGGAAAATTTATGAGAACATTAGTGAAGTCGTTAGTGAGAACGATAGTGAGAACGTTTATTTTTTACATTAGTGAGTTCGTTAGTGAAGTGGTTGGCGGCTTTGTAAATATTTAAGGTTAAGTTAGTGTTGTCGTTTGTGTTGTAAAATATACGTTAGTGGTTTTGTAAAGTGTCAAATTCACAAGTATTGGGTAAGGAGGCGCGCAGTGCCTCCGTACCCATGACTTGTATACTAACTAGCATTTCAACTTCAAGAAATCGAATTATCAAAGGTTAGTCGCGGCAGAAAACCAAATCCACCAACATTTGAGCAAAAACAATTAATTAATTCTTGTGTTGAGAAAGGGACAGACTAGCCCATTGTCACTTTTTAATTTAGCAAATGAACGCTTATGGAGTGGAGTTTTTGGGTAAATCTGATTTGCTTATAAATGAAATAAAATCAAAAGAAACCATATTGGCATTATATTATGCAAAAATAAATGATCTTACTTAGTACTTTTAAAGTTAATTTCAGAAAAAAATTTGAACACAATGGTATCGGCAACATACAAGTGGTGTACAACCAAAATATAAGTTGGTTTTAAAACATATATTGCTATATCTCATGATCTTACTTAGTACTTTTAAAGTTAATTTCAGAAAAAATTTGACACAATGGTATCCGGCACATACAAGTGGTGTACAACCAAAATATAAGTTGGTTTAAACATAGTTAGTATGGTTAACTTGGGTACTGTGGCACTGCGTTCACCGTACACACACTTAGCGAATTTGACACTTTACAAAACCGTTAACGTATATTTTACAACACAAACGACAACACTAACTTAACCTTAAATATTTACAAAACCGCCAACCACTTCACCTCACTAATGTTTTCACAAACGACTTCACTACTGTAAAAATAAACGTTCTCACTATCGTTCTCACTAACGACTTCACTAATGTTCTCATAAATTTTCCTCAATATCTTCATCATCAGTGTTAACCCTATTGTAGTCATACTTGAAGCCATAAACTTTCTCTAACTTCTTAACGTACAATTTACATAACTTACCTTCGTCATCGTATGGTTTAATGATATAACTATTTCTATCTTTATACACAGTCAATGAAAAGTCAACTGGTCTCGGATGTATTTGAAAGAACATGTTATGCTCAGGAAGGAAGAATAAATGTTTAAATGTATGTTTGTTATACTGTGGAATTCGAATGAGTTGCTTTTGTTCTGTCATTTACATCCAAATAAAAATTTTCAGTAAATAAAAAATAAACTTAAAATAAATGATATCACCACCCTCACATGTATGAAAACATAGCCCAAAAATAAATTTAGGTGAAGTGGTGAAATCTCACCTCTTTTTTCACCTCTTTTTTCACCTCATGAATTCATTACTTTATAACTCTCTTCCTTTCTCCAACTCTTCTAACTTCTTCTTAAGTTCAGCAATGTTGTCCTCATGAAGTTTAATCTTTCTCAAAATTCCTTCTCTATCTAATGGTTGCTTTATCTTTCTAAACTGAACTCTACCATCCTTCATAGTATGAACGTAAAAACCTTCTGGAACCGCTCCTGATTTAATGTATTCTACCAAAAACTTTTGTTTCATTGCTTCAGTGACTTTAGTCGTCATTTCAATCAAATAAAAATGTTCAAATAAAATAAAAATAACGTTATTTTTTCAGTAAGGAAACGCAGGAGTTTTACGATTTATTTGAGGCGTAGGTTCTGGTTTAAATGTTGGAGTCGGTTTAGGAGTTGACTTTTGAACAGGAGTTTGTACTTCCATAGGTTCAGGAGTCATTGAAGGTTTTGCTTGTGAAGGCGTTGTTGTGTTCTCTAATGTTGACATTACTGTTCTTACATACAGGATAAAAAAATAAATAAAATAAAAACTAACTTTATTTTTTCTGAGATAAACACTATTTCTTCACAACATTAAATTTTATCCTGTATGAAATGACTTTAAAAAGATTATTGACTGACTTCGAATACTATCTCATTGACGCACTGACAGACCCTCAAAACTGTGTTGAAAGTTCTTTAAGCTTTAAGATTGAAGGTACGACGCATTTTGTCTTCACTTACGTATTGAAAGAATATGACCGTTATCATAACGAAGTGAATCAAACACTAATAAAATTTGTAGATAAAAAATTGGTTAACAATGAATATTTTAAACGTGAAGACCCAAACACTGCTGGAGATGATGAAGAATACAGACAAGTTATTGAAAAAAATAACGCAAGATTAGATGCAATAGAAAAGAAGTTTAATGAATGTCTTACAAACACGTATGAATATCTTATGCAGTGGGAAGCCAGATGGAAATAAATTTACGTCAAATATGCAATTTATAAAATCTTATGTCGACAGGCTACGTAGCACAGTGGTCTAAGGTGGTGTTATGGAGGGGTCAGGTCTGTGGTTCGAACCGCGACAGCGCCGTATTTTCTTATTTTCTTTATTTGTCTTGTTTGTCGTGAATAAAAAGTGTCATAAAAGTGCTCTATCTTCCACGGGAATAAATAAAAAATTTACTTTATTTCTTCTTTATTTCTTTGTTCCCGTGGAAGAAGGGTTTTGCTGTTTTTTCTCAGCCGAAATCAATGATTTTTTCATTTTTGGAATCCTTAGCGAATGAGGAATCTTTTCTCTCGTGGAAGCTTTGACCTAAAATATAATTTAGGTGAAGAGGTGAGATGTCACCTGTTTTCTCACCTCTTTTTTCACCCTCGTGACTTTGTCATAACTTCTTCGTAAATGCTTTGTCATAACTTCTTCGTAAATGAGTGTAAATGACCAAAAATATATTATAGGTGAAGAGGTGAGATGTCACCTCTTTTTTCACCTAATTTCTCACCCTCATGAATTTGAATTTTCATGAATTTCCTTAAGATAGAAAAATAACGTTAGTTTTATTTTTATTTATTTTTTTATTTTGTATGTAAAGATATGATTTCAACAATCGGCACAACAACAATTCAAGCCGCGAACGGCGGGACTCTGTCCACAACAACTTCACCAAACTCGTTAGTCATGAATCCAACATCTATGTTAGTAGAGATGAAAAGCTTCATTCCTTCTTCATATACTTTCGAAACAAAAATCCAGAAGATAAAGCAAGAACTTTTAACAAGTAATTTAGACTGTAGTGCGAAAGATGAAACAAATGAACAGTATCTTTATGAAATGCAGGACATTATTGACCATTTACCTAAACTACCTGAAATTCAGCATCAAAAACTAACTATTCCTGAATTCGATGAAATAGAAGTGAAACCAACTGACTCAGTAGAAATAAAGAAGTTCATTCGAAAGGTAAACTATGAGTTTCTAGGATTTCATTGCAACCATAAGGTTATGGACAAAGATTGCGACATGGTATATAAGAATGTTTCTGACATATATAAATCCGGGGAGTTTAAGACCTACGATAACTTTGTTTCGTTAGTTGCTGAATGTGTATGGCAGATAAGAGATAAAGATAGAAGAGGTAAAATATGGAACGAACAGATAAGACCAACTGCTTTTGAGTTAAAGAAAACCATTGACGCCTTAGTTGTTTTAGCAGGTAAGGTTTCAGAATATAACGCAAAAATGAATCCGCAATGTTCTAAATGTAAAGCAGCAATTAGGAAATATAACTACTCCGTCAAAGAGATAGAAAGAATGCGAAACGACTATGCAGACTTAAAGAAAGAAGCAGAAAAGCCAGCAGAAAATAAAATGGACATGTTAGCATTTCTGAACAAAAACTATCCAACTGCTGACGATTTCCTTCTATCTGACGTCAAGAAGAAATATAAAGAAACTTTCGGCATTGTTAAAACTTTTGACATACTGACAGAAGAAATAGAAGCTACGAAATTGTTTAGGATTTCAAATATACATCGTACAATTCATGTAAAACGCTTGTGAAAAACTGGGGTGAGAAAACAGGTGAGAAAACGGGTGACATCTCACCTCTTCACCTATAATATATTTTTGCTTTAATTAAATGCTTTCCGGAAACGTCGATGAAAATCATATGGACAAATTATATGAAAAAATTAATAATGATTACCCCTCATTAACCAGGGAAATGACGGATTCTATAGTTCGTAAATTCGATGAAATACAGGATATGTGGTTCGACAGATTCGACATGAACGATAAGGAAAAGAGAAAGAACGATAACAATTTACTTACTAAAAGAATCCTAAAATCTAAAATAGGTGAAGCTTCAACATTTAACACAGTACATAACTTTTACACCGCTGTTTATATTTTCAATAATTTATTTAACGATGAACGAGAAAGAAAAAGTATGTTTAACGGAAGAAATGAATATGATTTTATCCTTTGTGCTGTTCGGGATGTTGACATGAAACTAAAGAAAATATTCTTATTACAAGATGACACGGTTGAAGATGAAGTCAATGAGTTTTTAAATCGTGATTTAAATGAAATTGATGAAGTTATGACCGAATGTTATAAAAAGTTCAAGAGGTGAAAAAAGAGGTGAGAAAACAGGTGAAATCTCACCTCTTCACCTAAATTATATTTTTGTCTGATTTACATCCAACGAAAAAGTTTAGAAGAATTTTCTTATTCTTTCTGGCATGTTTTTATCTTTCCAGTACTCCCGCTCTAATGGTCCCAGATGAGTTGGTTTAGATTCTCTCAAGTTCTTAGATGGTATAACATCTTCAACGCCTCCTTCATATCTTACTTTATAAGTGTCATCGTTTGTGTTATAGTCAAGTATTTCAATAACCACTCCTCGCTTTGCTTCGTCAATGGTTTCAGCAAGTTTGCCATTACTACTTTCGACTAATTTATGTCGAGGGTAAAATGCTATGGAGTCGTCAGCAGCTTTTATAAGATATCCATTACCTTGCGTAGAGTCTACGATATAATAATTTCGACTTAACCTTAAACGTTTCTTTGTCAATGGTTTGTCGTCAAGAACTACACGAACTTTTGTACCAGGAATGAGAGTAAATTGTGTTGAATTTCTGATATTTTGTGTTTGGCTTCGTTTCTTTTGTATATACTTTTCTTCTTGTTGTTGTGTCATTGAATTTGGTGTATGTCCTGTTGTAGAATGTGTTGAGGAATTATATACTTCGAGAAAATGTTTCATTGTTTCTTCGGTAAAGTCTCGCTCTTGATTTAAATCTCTGAGAGTCCTTATGAAGCGGTTAATGATACCGAGTATGTTATGGTTATGGTCTTCAGTAGTGTAGTGAGTTATGTTATGCTTAATGAGAAATTCTGTGATTTCGTTGCTGAGGTATGCACCGTCTTGGTCTGATGTTAAAATACTTGGGCTATGTTCTGCTACAAACTTTTGTAAAACTCTTAACACTTCATGAGTTCCTTTATTTCTCATTATATACGCATATGCTTTACGAGTGTTAACATTTATGAAGATGAGGAATGGTTTATGTCCTCCTTTTCTGCTTTGAATGAGAGTGTCAAATTGGTATGCGTCAGGAGTGTTGGAGTAAATTGGTAAAAAGTAGTCGTAAGGATTTATTTTTGTTTGATGTACAACATTTTTGTCAAAGAACCTTTTCACTTCAGCTCTGTTAGTAAATCCCGAACTCTTTGCAGCTTCATTGAACTTCTTAAATGACCTCCATGGATGTTGTTCGAATACTTCTTTCAAGCTCATTTATGTAAAGTTAAAGATTTTAACCAACTCGTATCCAAGCGTGCATTGTTATATAAGGAGGCATATAATCTTTTCCATTACCTGCTGGGTCTGTAATACCAGCTACAACATGTGTATGATTTCCTGCAGTTCCACAGAAAATACCTGTGCTAACATCTTTGGGGTCAGTTGTGATATCATATCTATGCATTCCCTGTCTATCCGAACCCGCTGCAAGATTTGTATAACCTCTTTTTGTTATTGAATGTGAATGGTTTCCTTCCACAGATGTTCTTCCACTGAACCTATGCATATGTGAAGGAAGGTTTTCAATACCTATTTTCTTTGAACCTCCCATCTTCATTGACTGCGTATTAGTGTAGAATGGAAAACTGTCAACTATTTCATACCATCTACCACCAAATAAAGTGTTTGGATTTATTGGATTCATAGACGTATAAACAGCTCCTATAGGATATATTAAATCATATATGCTCATAACTCTATAAACATATTCTAAAGAACTTATGTCATTAAATACCATTTGGAATGTATCTCCCGGATGAAATGTTGCATTTGTTCCACTTTTATAATGTAATGTTAGTTCAATAGAATTATCCAAGAAAAATTCAAAAGTATCTGGTTGAAGACCTCTAACAAATTCAAATGGAGTTGCTGGTTCACCATTTATAATTTCTGTTGTAAATGTCATTGTATCTGGTTTCGAAAATTTCTTTGTTAGTTCTGCATCCACATAAGTTTTATCTGCTTTCTTGTCTAACATTGCTGGTAGTTCATATGCTTCAAAGTTTCTGGCATGATCTTCGGTATTCCTGCAACTCTTATCTAAATTGTTAAGAGTATCTTTTACGCTTGTACTCGGATTCTCTAAAGGTGCACTTGAACCAAGGTCAAAGTTCAATATTATGTCGTCTGCTCTAACAGTAGTGAAGGATTTATGTGTATGGTTCTTGTCTGCTTTCTTGTCATATAAATCTTGAGCAGTGAATTTAATATTATGTTCATCCTTCATGACATAAACATCTTTACATCTAATGTTTCTCATCGTCGTTATGTCGTCATCCGATGTTAAACCTTGTGGAAAGTTAGGAGGTTTACAATATAATGCAGCCGCGTGCGGCGGGGCTCCGCCCTCCCACCAGTTTCTTCAACCGTTCCTTCAATACTTTCTATAGCAACAGTTGTGAAGGATTTATGTGTATGGTTCTTGTCTGCTTTCTTATCTAACATTGCTGGTAGTTCATGTGCTTCAAAGTTTCTGGCATGACTTTCAATGTTCCTGCAACTGTTATCTAAACTGTTAAGAGTATCTTTTACGCTTGTACTTGGATTTTCTAATGGTGCACTTGAACCAAGGTCAAAGTTCAATATTATGTCGTCTGCTCTAACAGTAGTGAAGGATTTATGTGTATGGTTCTTGTCAGCTTTACTGTCTAAAGAAGTTTGAAGTTCATTTATATCGGAGATGTTGTGTTTATGAGATTTCAAAACTTTGTTCGTTGCGTCAAGTTCAACTTTGTCAGCTTTACTTTTAATAGCATCTTCAAACGTTATTTTTGCCTTAACTCTTAACATAAATCTTGGTTCAACTAATACACCATTAACAGAGAAAGTAGAGGCATAAATTTCATCGTTATAACTAAATGCTTCTGGTGCTTTACCTGTGTCATACTGTACAGTACAGCTTATGTCATAACCTTTAGCACGAATGTATTTATATCTTCTTTCATTAACATTTTTTGTCTTCGCTTCATCACTTCGTGTTAAATATCCATGGTAGTCCGTTATAATCTGTTCGTCTGAAGTTATATAATGAACGTGGTTTTTATCTGCTTTTTCGGCTAATTTCTCATTAACATCATTCACTTCTAATTCAACTCTTCCGCCAGAACTCTTATTATCATTAATCTTTTTCATTAATTCGGTAATTACGTCATAAAGACTATATTCTGTTTTCGGTTTTGTAAATAATGAGTCAAAATTTCTTTTCATCATTACATCGCTGACATTAATGATATCACCAATTCCTTTTTCATTTATTCTCTTCATTAATTCTGCAATAATGACGAATATATAATCTGTTAATTTATTCTCTTCATCGAGGGTTATAGAATGTTTTGAAATTGAATCATTAACTCCTCTAAATAAATCAATAACTTCAGGATACACGTTTTTAATGTCTTGAATAACCCGACCAGTATCCTCGCCACTATGTGGCTCTGAGCCCGTTGGGCTCTGTTGTTCATGTTCTTCGTTCCCGTCGTTACGTGGTTTTATATCTCTAACCATCATCAACGCAGCCATAACCGGAGGGTTTGTTGCTACCTGTTCGAAAATCCGTCCGTTATGTATGGTATATCTAAATAATTTCTTTGTGTTTGTTAAAACATTTGAAACAAGTCTTTTAAAACCATCTACAAAATTTCCTGTTTCACCTAATGTTCTTGCAGCATTTACAAGCTCACCCATTCCCGCTTTTGACCCCAAAAACGTCCATATTGCATTTATTTCACTCTGTATAGTTGTCCATTCAGCGAAACTAACACCCGCATTCGCTAAGCTGAAAATGAAATTCAGTGGATCGAACTTAATTCCACCTTCTTTTTCAATTTCAACGAACTCACTAACATGAGATTTTAAATATTCTTTCGTTAAAATTGTTTTCCCCGATGTTATGTCATTAACGAAACTATCACCGTCAAAAGTTAACGAATTCAATTTCGTCGTTGATGCTTTTATTTCATACACCGCTTTATCGATAGTTTTTGGCTCACCTTCTTTAGAAGCATATGAAACATTAATGAATGAATTATATGTATTCGTGAATGAATTAAAATCAATGATTTTCATTAATGACGCCTTTAATGATTCATTAACTGTTGAATCCCTTAAAACAATTAATGAACTGTCATGGGCTTCGCCCTGGTCGCTTCGGTCTGAAAGACCTTCAGGACTCAAAGAGTCCGTTTGCGACTTTATGAAAGGTACACTGCAAACCGTCGAGTTTGGATCAAATGCTGTAGTTGGTGCAGGAATATTAATGATATAAGTCATTAAATCATTAAGTGACGTAAATAATGTTGTCGTTTTTGATTTAATTTCTTTAGCATCTGTTATATATGGTAATTTTATTTCTGTAGTTTCTGAATTAAAGATATTCGCTAAAATGTTTTGTAAACTGTTTTGAACAGCTGTGTAAACCGTTGAATTCGGAACTCTTACGATTTCACCATCCTTAATAAAAGGCATTGTACATGACGTAGTGCTTGGGTCAAATCTTTCGGGATTATAATTCAACATATATTCTAACGCTTCATATACAGACCTATAAACAGTTGTGTCGTTCTTCATGACAACTTCACCATTTACAATGAATGGCATAGTGCATGGAGTTAAAATAGGGTCAAACTTTTCATAGTCCTTCCATGTTATGTATTTCTCGGTATTTCCATCAGAAATAACAATATATTTGTCAGTAAGTGTGAGAGAGTATTGACCAAAATATAAACGTTTAGCTCTGTCAGCTTCATACGCATATGCAGCAATACTCATATTTTAATGAGAATAAAATGTTGTTCTATTTGCAAAGTACAGACCCAAACGAATACGGGACAGTAAAGCTACAAACAAACTTAGGTCTTCAGAATGAAGCGCTTGCTTTCAGAGTTGTTGACTTCAATACTATCGCTTCATTCGTTATAACAGATGAAACAGATTTCATGGAGCTTGAAATAGATGGAAAGAAGCACGAAATAAGATTTCACAATAATGTAGAATATAAGATGGAAACATTAGCTGGAGTGTTAAATGCGCTCATAAATACTACAATAAACAAGGAGAACGAAGAAAACTTAATGAATGTTAAACTTATTGCAGGAGTTTTGAAGTTCAGTTATGCGAAGGAGTTTAAGATAACACGAATGAGTCATAGAGTTCAATTGCTTCTGGGAGCATACCATATGACATGTCCTTTGAAAAGTGTTGACAAAACGATTGAGATGAAATCTGTTCCATACGTATGTTATGGTAATTGTTTATACGTTGAGTCAAAAATAGCTAATGTCACAGGTATTTCAGGAGTTAATAGTAAAGGTTCAGTAGAATATAAATCCTTCTGTTATGCAGTCAATTCAATGTTCATTCCAAACGTTCCTGTCATAGTAACTCATTTAGGTAAATGGGTTCGCATTAGTCCTCATAATTTGAAAGACATGCAATTCAGACTTTTGACTTTCAAGGAGAGCCTGTAGAACTGAAGGCACCAGTGCGAATGACTGTTGAAGTTGACTTTTTAGAAAATATTAAATGCAACAGCTTACAAGAGAACTCAGAGCTAAAAATATAAAGTATGAATGTTATGTATTAGGTCATGAACTTTGGTTATTGCTGTTTGATGAAACAAATGAGTTAGTTATGTCAGTCAAGAGAACAGAAAAAGGCGTCAAAGGCGCCGAGCGCAAAGCGCTATATTGTGTTAGTGAAAACTGCACCAAGTCAATAAGATTAGGTTTGCATTATGAAGATGAGTTCGATACTGTTGAAGAAGTTTTGGATAGATATTACAAATTGCTTTAATTTACTAAAACATATTTCAAACAAAGCTTATATTCTGTTGAAAGTTTTGTATACTCGTTCGAATATTTATACTTAAACTCAACTCCTGTAGTTCCTGGTGTTTCAATGATGCGGATGTTACCTATTTTCATGAATGGTGGCGTTTGACCACAGCATTCGATTTCAGGGTCGAGATAGTCAATGACACATTGTTTCCCTGTTATTCGTGATATAACATTTTCAAGGTCCTCCTTTGTTAGAATTATTTGGTTCTTGCTTATAAGATTTGTCAAAAGCTTCTTATCGTCTTTGAGTAAAATTGTTTGGTATAACTGAAGAAGGTAATGGTCTACGTTATCTGAAGGATTTGTTTGAACATTTGTGTAAGGGTTGTCGTTGGCTTCTCTTGAAAGAATTTGGTCCAGTGGTGGATACTCTAACTTAACATCTGATGTAGCGTTAGCGTTTGAAGCTGTTTAAATTCACGGATTTCAGTTCTGGTTCTCTTTCAAACACTCTGAACTATAGTTCTTTATGACAATATTGTTTGTCGTTCGTGAGTCAACATTTGATGTTGGTTCAATTGGAACATTAACGGCACCAGCTAAGATGGATTTGCTTCTCATTTCATATAGAATAAAAAACCTTTTATATGTATGAAAAAAATATACTCGACAAGGGTTTGAATGTAAAGCTAACGAATGAAAATATTGTTGAATTCACTGAGACAGGTGCTGTGTATAAAGATGTAGAACTACTGAACAAAAGAGCTAAGGGAAGAAGCAGGAACATGAACAAAGGGTGGAAGCCTATAAAAATTTATGTCAATGATGGCTCAGGAGGTTCAAACATAAAGTATGCAGAAAGTTATAGAGTTTATGCTCTCAAAGGTGAAAAGCCTTCATTTAAGAACAGCTATTCTAACGCATATCCTCAAAAGCTAACGGATGGGAAGTGGATGATATGAATGACAGCAAAAATATTAACAGAAATGGCGACAGAGATGCATGGAATTTGTTTACCATCAGTCAATTGAAGGTTAAACTTTAAAACAATGTTGGTCGTTCCCATGGAATATTTTTGACTTTAATGGTATTAGTCATGATATGAATCTCAAGGTATGAACGAGGAGAGATGAGAGACTTATATGCTTCCCAAATTTCTTCAAAAGGTAATGTTATACCTGACTGTTTCCAAATGAGTTCAATATCATAACGTGAGAAACCTTGAAAGATAACGAAGTCAGTTATGAGACGTTTTATGTTTAAAGCAAGAAAACGCCATGTTTGCATAAGTATTGCTACAGTTAAGTGGTAATGTCTGACTTTAGTAATGATGTTAGCTAATGGTGAGTCAGGCTTTGACACTAAACCTTTTCCGGCGAAGTCGTCGCAAACGAGCAGAGTATTTGAAGGATACTTTTTGAAGGGGTATTTTGAAAGTTTTGACAGAATGTAGTTTGTAAGTCGTTTCATATCGTAAACTCCTGAGTATTGACGTAAGTGGTGTTTGTCAATAATTCTTTCCATCTCTTCTGAAGTCTTTTGCATTCCTGACTGTATAAATTCAACGATGGCATAATATTTCCTCTTACGTCGAACGTAACGTTGAAGAAATTCAATGAGTTCACTGTCTGGAACTTTAACGACAGAGCTTGAACTTTTGACATAAATGTTTTCGCTGTTGAGTCCATAGAGTCTGAAGTTGCTGATATAATGATTTGGTCATAATATGAATCTTTCCTAAACGCTCTGTTATGAGTATATGACGAATGAGGTTAAATGTCTTACCTGAACCCATCTTTCCACAATAGAAATACACACCATTTGAACAGAATCATAATCTTTGCTGAAAGGAAGAATGAGAGAAGAGTTAAGTTTGTCTGTAGTTTCATTCATGTCTTCATCTACGTCATGTATTAAATGCTTCATTTTATCTCCATTAAAAATGCAAGTCAGAAATATTCAGAACATAGCACCGAGTCTAACTGACAAGAGTATAAAGATATACTATGAACACGTTATGATGAAACCAACCAAAATTCAAGAAAGTCAGTATACTTATGAATATCCAAGACACTGGGTAGAGTATGTAGGAGGTGAGAAAGCTATTGAAATCAGACAGGTTCGAAGTATTCCAGCAGGAAGGACAATATTATTGAAGAACTTTAATGTTTTGAGGTATAATGATGAAACAAAGAAGCAAGATAGTTTTCCCATTGCTGTGTATGTGAACCTAGACACAGGAGATGACATGAAAGTTTTTAACACAAAGCTTCAAACGGTAGTGAGAGAACAACTGACTGCGGAAGGGCATCCATTACCTTCAGAAGTTACCATAGCATATAATTTTGAAACAAACTCAATAGATTTTAAAGTCATCTCTGCAAAGAAGTCAGGTTTTACATTTAATGAAGCAGATGTATATTCGAATGAAAACTTCAAAGCTATTGCATGGTTAGATAATGACGATTGCTTTAAGAAAATATTTAAATTCAGTGACTCAACGATGTCAATAGATGACCTTCGTGGAATGTTACCATCGACGTTTACAGTAGAAGGTTCAGCAGGATTGCTTACAAGATTGTCAATTGGTGGTATTTGGTCTCGTGAGAACATTGTTATAAAATCCAGTATAAGTGAATTTGCTGAAGAATCTATATTATGTCTTTCAAACTACATGTATTCGCCGCCGAAGCATTATAGTATAACAAACTTTGTCAGTAAGTTTAACATAAGACTTGTCGAACCTTCTTCAATGAAAGATGTTGTGCTACCTAAAGATGGAAAGGATGGACTCATTATTGAGATGATTTTAATTGCATATTAAATGAGCTTGTTCTTGAAGGTCAGTCATGATGAAATAACTGTTGTAGAAGATGTTAGCAATTGTTCAGACATTTTGAAGCGAATAGATGAGATAAGAAAGAAGTTAGATAGACCGCAAAGCGGTGAGGGCGAAGCCCGTGAGAATGTTTATGTTTCATTGACTTTCTCCAGTAACGAGAACTTTTATGAGATAATATTGAAGAGAGATGATTTTAATATGGTGTAAATGGTAGCTTGGGCAGCTTTAGGCGCAATGGGAACAAAAGCATTAGCATTTGGAGCAAAAGCACTTGGGGCTTATGACGCAGTAAATAAAATGAGTGGAGGAAGAGTTTCGAAGACATTAGATGCAAATAAAGGAAAGATTGGAGGCTGGGTTGCAAAGAAGTTAAGATTAAATAAAATAGGGCTCATAAATAAAGCATCCAATTTGGTTGCGACTGAGTCAGAAAATGCTTTAGGAAAGGACGATGAGTTTGCAAAACATGCAAAAGACTTTAATGACCAGATGAAAGGTGAAACAATGCATTTAAATAGAGTCGATGGAACTCTTCCTCCACCAGCAGTTCTTCCGTATGGTCCCTATGGAATGTATGGAAACCCTTACGAAAGACCATTTGACCCATTGACTGGTGGAAGTAACTGGTATCATTACGGACGAAGAAGAAAGACAGTCAAGTTGGAGACAGACGTGAAGAAAGCAACTAAAAAGAAACCAAGGAAGAGAGTTATAAAGCAATGAATTCATGAGGTGAAAAAAGAGGTGAAAAAAGAGGTGAGATTTCACCACTTCACCTAAATTTATTTTTGTGCTATGTTTTCATACGTGTGAGGGTGGTGATATCATTAATTTTAAGTTTATTTTTTATTTACTGAAAATTTTTATTTGGATGTAAATGACAGAACAAAAGCAACTCATTCGAATTCCACAGTATAACAAACATACATTTAAACATTTATTCTTCCTTCCTGAGCATAACATGTTCTTTCAAATACATCCGAGACCAGTTGACTTTTCATTGACTGTGTATAAAGATAGAAATAGTTATATCATTAAACCATACGATGACGAAGGTAAGTTATGTAAATTGTACGTTAAGAAGTTAGAGAAAGTTTATGGCTTCAAGTATGACTACAATAGGGTTAACACTGATGATGAAGATATTGAGGAAAATTTATGAGAACATTAGTGAAGTCGTTAGTGAGAACGATAGTGAGAACGTTTATTTTTACAGTAGTGAAGTCGTTTGTGAAAACATTAGTGAGGTGAAGTGGTTGGTGGTTTTGTAAATATTTAAGGTTAAGTTAGTGTTGTCGTTTGTGTTGTAAAATATACGTTAACGGTTTTGTAAAGTGTCAAATTCGCTAAGTGTGTGTACGGTGAACGCAGTGCCACAGTACCCAAGTTAACCATACTAACTAACATATATTGCTATATCTCATGATCTTACTTAGTACTTTTAAAGTTAATTTCAGAAAAAATTTGACACAATGGTATCCGGCACATACAAGTGGTGTACAACCAAAATATAAGTTGGTTTAAACATATATTGCTATATCTCATGATCTTACTTAGTACTTTTAAAGTTAATTTCAGAAAAAATTTGACACAATGGTATCCGGCACATACAAGTGGTGTACAACCAAAATATAAGTTGGTTTAAACATATATTGCTATATCTCATGATCTTACTTAGTACTTTTAAAGTTAATTTCAGAAAAAATTTGACACAATGGTATCCGGCACATACAAGTGGTGTACAACCAAAATATAAGTTGGTTTAAACATATATTGCTATATCTCATGATCTTACTTAGTACTTTTAAAGTTAATTTCAGAAAAAATTTGACACAATGGTATCCGGCACATACAAGTGGTGTACAACCAAAATATAAGTTGGTTTAAACATATATTGCTATATCTCATGATCTTACTTAGTACTTTTAAAGTTAATTTCAGAAAAAATTTGACACAATGGTATCCGGCACATACAAGTGGTGTACAACCAAAATATAAGTTGGTTTAAACATATATTGCTATATCTCATGATCTTACTTAGTACTTTTAAAGTTAATTTCAGAAAAAATTTGACACAATGGTATCCGACACATACAAGTGGTGTACAACCAAAATATAAGTTGGTTTAAACATATATTGCTATATCTCATGATCTTACTTAGTACTTTTAAAGTTAATTTCAGAAAAAATTTGACACAATGGTATCCGGCACATACAAGTGGTGTACAACCAAATCTTCGACTCGATGAACTTGTCATCGAGTTATATTCCAGTGTTGTTCCTTCATTCCTGATTAAGTTGCAAATTAAAGGTCTGGATTCAGAGAGAAGTGTTAAAGTTATCAAAAAAGTCACAAGAGATTTCGAAGAAATGACACAATTTAAAAAAGTCGAATGCATCAGTATGCTTGAAGCTGTTCAGAAAGGTCTGAAAAATGATACACTTGATCCCAACATTGTTTACTCAACATTAAAAATATTATTGCAAAGAAAACATTTGATTTAATAAACATTTAATTTATTATAATTAATTTTTTATTACAGTATAGTAAAAAATGCTATAAATAAATTATTATATTTTATTAAAATGTGACTTTTAATAGTAAGTGAATAAAATAAATCAGGAATTGGGAAAGAAATAAGGTTAATTAAAAATAATGAAAATTACAAGTTTAAGGTTAATGAAAAAGTGACAATGGGCGAGTTTGTCCCCCACTCTTCTTGTGTTTCACAATATAAAGGAGGAATTTCAAAAACTTATTTATTGATTAAAAGGTTTCAAAATATTGCTCAAAATCCCGATTGTGAGAAATAAAAAGAAGAAATTGCAAAAGAATTTGAAAATATAGAAGATTTGACAAAAGATCAAATTTTTGACAATTTACAAAAAATAAAGCATCATCAAGTGGAAAAATTTATGATGGAATCAGGTTTATCTTCAAAAAGAGATTACAAACCAGCAGATCCACCTACCAAATATCGTGCCATATCAAAGAATTTGATATGGCACTGCGATATTCATTACCTTCACGGTAATGTTTCTTTTCCATTTTTTGCCATATTGGATGATATGACACGTAAAGTTCTCAAAACTAAATTATTGAAAAACAAGTCTTCCAACTCAACAGCGAAGGTTTTAAGAAAACTTTTAGAGGAGTTTATTCCTTACTGCATCTGGACCGATAACGGCGGTGAAAACCGCGGTGAATTCGGCCAGGTTATGCAGGAAAACGGAATAGTTTGGAAGCACACCTTGCCGTATATGCCAAGACAGAACGGCAAGGTGGAGCGCCTGTGGCCAAGCTTAGAAAAGTTTTTGCCAGACGAGTTGGATGATATTCAACAAATCAAGGACTCAGTTCAGCAGTTCATTGAAAAATACAACAATACACCACATTTATCTCTCAATATTAATCCAAAAACAAATAGTAATTACACTCCTAACGAATTATTCGAAGTTTCAAAATTTTGGTACGAGCCAGAAATGCAAAAATGGGAGTTATATATCAAAGACGAATGGGTCTTAGCAAAATTTGAATAATTACATCATTTTAAATGACTACTAAACAATTTTAGTTATGATCAAATTTTATATATATTTTTGGATCAAATCCACTTTAATAGAATTTATATACTATTCATCTATTAGTAAACACTACCGTATATTATTTTTTAAGCTATCTTATTTTTTGAACTTTTATTCAAATCTTTGGTCGCAAGAAGAATTGCATGATAAATAAAAACATTTAATCAAAGTCAATTTTATTTTTCATATTCAAATGGACTGAGTGTTAACATTTAACATTTTTTGCTAATTGTCGTCAAAAATTAGGCGTAAAGCAAAAATTGATATTTCATATGGTTTTATGATAGATAAGCATTATATTCCCACTCATTATATTCGTAAATTTTGAGGTTTATCCTTCGCTTTTAAGATCATTGAATTTGATTTTTATATAAAATAGTTATATATTAGAAAATAATATGAGTTTATGTGATATTATTTTTCAGAAGATTTTGTGTTCTTCTTCAAAATTTTATTTTTTTTATTAAAAAGAATCTTTACAAAATATACATTTACTTTAATTAATATTTAAAAACGTGCTCTATCAAAAGTTCCAAAAATTCAATATTTTAGCTTTTCTGAAGTGTCACTTTTGATGAATTTCTGTTTACAACAAAATTAAAATCAAAATTCGAAAATATCTATTTTTCAAAACACGCATCCAGAAGCGAAAAAATTCGAAAAAATCATGTTCTTATAAAACTCGCCGATTTTGCAATTTTTATGTGATTTGAAGTGATAGAATGTATTATCATCTTACTAAAACATATACTTTATTGTTACATTCACAAAATATTAATCAGAACACTAGGAAAAGTGGATTTTCGAAAAAATATGATAACGATTATTTGCAAATCGCCTCTCAATTTTGAGAGACTTTCAATTTTTACAGTGGACCCTTAAGTTTTATTTTACAATTTTTATCCGATTGGATGTTTGAAATATAAAACATGAATATTGATAAATATTTAAATTCTATAATTTAAAATTATTAAGGATGATTTGTCAGATATTCGTATTGAAAAAAGAATTTATCGGTTTTGATTAATTTTATGTCATTATCAATTTATCATTGTTTACTATTATATGTAATATTTTGAATTTATTTTTTCAATGTGCGGTTGCATTTAAAATTTTGATTATTGTTTTACACTTGATCTTGGCATAGTAAGCAATCGATAAAACTAATCATTTTAAAAAAAAACGCTCTCAATTCATAAAATTAATGCGTGGAACTATATTATATATGTTGGCAATATAGTGTTTTATAACATTTGAAATTTCTTTTCAATATTTAACGTGTTTCTATTCATTATTAAAACAATCATTCAATCTTTTTTACACTTTACATTTACATCTTATTTGACGTTATTTTTCATTACTCGGATCTTATTAGTAATATTATTCATTTCAATTTTTCTTAAATTTTGTTCGATTTTATATACTCTTATAGATCATCTAATATCTAGTAATTTTTAAAAGAATCCATCAAAATTTCATATTAGTATTCAAAATTGACTTACAAAATTTATTTTTATGAATATCCCTCGCGGAAATAAGCGTCGAACAAGTATGCCAGTTGTCGCACGCCAACTTTCTACACTCTTACATAACAGAAAGAAGCTTTGTAAACCTACTTTTACTTCCAGGCGAGTTACAGAATCATTACCAAGTTTAAAGATTGAAGTGGTCATTAAAATTTATTCAAATTATGGTAATACTGACTTGATTGGATGTTCATCAATTGGATTCTATGCTTCTGGAAACGAAAGACTTAAAGTTCTGAAATCAAAGCTGGAACCTTTTGAGGATAAAGCCGAAAACCTTTGTCTTCTTACATCTGGAAACCTAATAAAGGGAAAGAATGATAAAATGTGGCAATTTTCATGGCCACTTCCAAATAACCTCCCATTGAAACTCAAATTTACTTTGGATGGCAAGAGAGCTTTAGACTTTGTTAGAATTTGGCCACCAGAAGATCAATCCCTTGCTTTTAAAGATATAGAAATGATTGTTAATGGAATAGTTGTCTATAGAGGTCAGTTAGAAGCTACATTGGGTGTTGATATCCCAACAAAGAAGGTTCCTCCAGCTACAAAACAGTTATTTATAGAGAGCAACTCGCTTACACCGAAGTTTGATAAATACGGTTTCATGCCAATACGTAAAACAAAGAAAATCAGATTTATCTTTCTTAACTGTTACGACAATGACGAATTCTACACCATACAAAACATTACATTATACAATGAGAATATGGAGAAAATCAGTTCCGAACATTTTCTGTTGTTTTCTGAAAATTTTACAATCGAAAAAAATCCAGCTATGATTTTTGACGAAGCGAAGAATACAGAGAATGCAAATTGGTACGGAAAGGCGAATAACGGAATCCCATCATTCGAAATTGAATTCATACTTCCGACCATAATTGCAGCGATATCAATTGGTAGCGTCACCATTAAAAATATCATTATACAGATTAATGGTGATAATGTCTACTTCGGACGCTTGCCTCGTCCTGTTGAAGATCCAATTAACGATAAAATTGTTGAAAAGACAATCCACCTGGTTGATCAATCTGATACTCTTGCAGGGAAGCTTGACATGAAAAGCTAATCTGTACGAATATATTTCATGAAAGAATTAATTTTTTGTTATTTTTTTGTTTAAATTATTATGTTATTTTATGTAATTGTTGTCCATTTTTTCTATAGATATCTTTAATGTCTTGAAATTACTAATTTGAAAGATATCATTTAATCAAAAAATTAATGATCTAGGAGATGAGATCATCTCATTGAAAGAAAAATTAGATATCTTTCAAACGAATGTTAAAATCAATAAGTATGAATGGAGAATTTTTTCTGGAAAATTTTCGATTTGAAGTAGTTAATTCATCAATCGCAATCATAGCCATTTAACTCAATTTCCAGAACCTTATCATATTTGCTCTGATATATCATCGATATATGTAGGTAAAAGTGCAATTCTATATGATTTGACAGATACGTTTAGATATAGTATAATTGTATTCTCAAATAATAAATGACAGTATATGTATGGTCAATGAAATTTATTTATGTTTCTGTGCGAATTCAATGATTCGAATAGAGGAATCCGGTTTGATGTAAACTTAGTGTGGTCGTGTATATATTTAATTATAGGAATCTTGTGCTTAGAATTTGGAGCAATATAATTAATGAGAGATTTGAAATTATTTTGAAAAAAAAATGTAATTCATCATTAAAAAATATAGAAACAAAACATTGCATATTTGTGTTTATTGTTCAAAAATACAAAGATTTGAAAAAAAAAATCAATGAAAAAAAATCAAATGATAAAAAACTAATTATATTAAATTTGGGTATTTCTAATAGATGTGAAATTGTTTCTTAATTTTTCCCGAAAAATACGCCGTTACCAATGATTTCAAATAAAAAATTAAAATTTCAAAATAAATAAGAATGTAAAAAAAGAGAAATGTTTAAAAATGAAATTGAATTAAAATATAAATTGAGTTAAATAATGGATAAAAGTGTCGATGATGAGGTAATAAAATTTTATATTAAACGTTGAATTTTGAAAAAATAAACATATGAACGGTTATATTCAATCTTAAAAATGATTTAATTATATAATTTGATTATAAAACAATAATTGAATAAATTTAGACGATGATTTTGCCTTTGACCATTTTGTTATTTCAAATTTGTGGTCTTTCAAAATTTTTTTTGAAATAAATTTGGAGAATTCCATAAAATTATATGTTAAGACCATGTGATTAGAATTATATGATATAATCAGTGTTCAACTTTTGAATCCAAAAATATTGAGAGGTATATTTTGTTTTATATATAATATAGATTGTAATTTATTAGAAAATATATTAAATAAAGCAAAAGAATAATTTAAAATCTTAATGATTTGTGAGAATATTTCCGTTTTTCTCAATAATTTCATGATTGAATTTGATGTTCAGTAATTGATGATTTTTGAAAAATATCACAAATTAAGCATTGAAATCAGTATGTTGCTTAAAGTATACAAGAGGAACATAGAGGAACTCATAATTTACAGACTTATTTAAAGAATACGAATTATTGAAATTTATAACCTATAAAATTAATACTATTTCATTATAGAGGATACCCTAATATATACAATCGATTAAATTTAATAATTTCAATTTCATTCTAAAATAAATAATCAAGAAAAACAAGCAAAAATCAACAAAAAAATCGAAGTTGCATTCAAAGTTATTACCAAATAACATGATGATAACTTAATTTCAAAAAATAAAAAATGATTTCCAATCAGTTTTTATTTTCTTTCAAACAAATTCATTAAGCTATTACCATAACAGTATTGATGCTACAAACAAATAATTTATTTTCGAATTTTATTTTCATTCTCGATTTTTTATATTTTTCTCTATTCAAAAATACAAAAATTATTCTAAACAATATAAAGGTCAAAAATACTCTAACTAGCGAAAAATGCTTTCAAAAATTTTTCATCAAAAAAAAATTGAAAGTCAGATAAATTTTTGAGAGAAATTTTCAAAACCATAAAATATATAAATAATATATCATAATCATTCACATACATATGCAAATAAATTGATATCAAATAAAAAAACTAAAGATACAATAATTTTTTAATGATTATTCAACAATTGACTAACATCTGTAATATCAATATGAAAGCTACTACTTGGTGCAATACTCATTGGTTTAATACTACTTAATGTATTAATATTGAGAGTGGAAATCTTAACAAGTTCACTTGCGGCAAAAATTGGTAAGTATGGATAAACTATTTTCCAATTTTCGGCAAACCAGCAGATAAGTGCACTTCTATTGCGCTTAGCAAGTCGATCAATATTCAAATCTAATTTTTGAGCAATTTTTGTAGCAAGTGACAGTAGATTTGTTACCGTCATATGATCGCCATATAACTTCTCCAAGTAGGCTGCTACGTAGTCCATCTGAATTCCAGCTTGGGAAATTCTATTCTTTATTTTTTCATAATCGCGTTTGCTTTGGCTTGTTTTCCTCTTATGCTTATTAACACTTCTTGTTTGTATGATATCTTTGATCAATTTTGGGTCGAACATTCCCTCTATCTTTCAATACAAAGAATTAAATAGGTAATTTTCTGTAGTTTACATCATTTAAAAAAAATAAAGGTCTTCACAAAATATTTAGATTTTGATTTTTAAGTATTGGTATATATTCATATCCCGTTTTATAGCTAACATTTTAATTTGGTTGGTTATGCTTTCAAATATTTATGTCCGCTTATCAGAAAATTATAGATACAAAATGTTGACACAATACATTTAACTTATTAATAATGGATATTACATTAATAAAATTTTTGATTCAATATTTTGCAAAAATATAAGTTTACTAAAGTATTCAAATTGGTGTTCTTTGGCCGATATTCTAAAAATAATTTTACGATATGTTTTCAATTCCCAAATTCAATTAAATTCAGAAAAATTATATTATAAGTACAACATCTATATAACGCCTCCTCTTTTACATAAATTGATTTTATTGAGAAGATAACAAAAACAAAATTCTTACGCGCATACAAACGAAATTCTGACTGTAGTATTACTTACTTATATCGTTATCTAACTATAAAAATTTGGATATTTAGTTCTAATTCATGAAATTTATGACAGATTGATTTGACTGTTTCGAAAAATATATTATTATCATGTTATTGGAGCAGACCGCTGAAGATTGAATTGATGACAAGGTAAGGTGTCAAAGAATTTTTAATAAATTTGTTTTCAAATTTCAAATGAAAAGATATGAACCTAATATGCATTAAAATTGTTTCTATTGAATGACATCATAGTTGATGATATGAATCGAATAGAGTATTCGGTTTTAAATTGACCAAACACCTATAAAAAAAATTGAGATCAAATTGCCTGATTTATAGAAGTCTTTTTAATTTTATTATAAAGTCATTATGCATGTGTACCTTGTTTAGAAATTCTGGGCTTAATTACTATTTTTCAAATAGAATTACACAAAAATAGATCTTTATACTCCAAAATAAAACTTATCTGTTTGTAGATGAAATCTGATTCACTTCCATTGATAATTTTATTTTGAATATAATACCATATACAAGAACCTATTTGGCTTTCAAAATTTTCTGCTTTATTGCCAACAAATTATATATTAAATCAGAATTGGGTTAAAACGCATTTGAAAAATTGAGAATATCTATTGAAGCATTAGTAACATAATGACATGCAATATTAATAATCATCATATCATCTATGATTTTGCTATTAATTTTGCTTTTTTGTGGCAATACATGAAACCAGTTTTTTAATAAATCGATAGATCACTTCTTTAGACTCTGTTTAATATATAAACCCAGCATAGAAAAATGTGATTTTTTAAAAAAATAATAATTTGTTTAATAACTACAAAAAAATAGGATGATTGTACTTACATGGGCCAGAAGAATTGGAAATCGTCATAAGGGATCAATGTTAAATTCAATTGGAAATCGTCACTTATTTCCATAGAATTTGCAAAGGCCGGGCTTGACTCAACTGTGGGAAAGAAATCGCACTCGATCTCTTTCTTTTGGGAAAAAAGAGAGTCTCCTTTTCTATTTTTGACGACTTTTGTTGTTTCGTTGCAGAAGAAGTATGCAATGAACTTGTAGTTCGAGTTCTTCTTCGTGAAAAGAACAATGAACTGGTCACTTCCGTTTGAGGCAGATAATAAATGGAATTTCATGAATGGGATTGATTTTGATATCTTTGTGATGTCAATGAAACCAAATCGTTCATATTGTGATATACATGAACTGAAATAATCTGTGAAGGAAGAAATTATGGCTTCTTCGGTTAATTTATTGTCTCCAAAGCTATTTGAGATTGAAATGGATTTAAGATATGGCTCAAGCAATGAGAAATTGCGCTGGATGGTCATATAGAGCAAATTTTTATCTCTTAATGTGTCTCTAGTGATCTTTGGGAAATTTGGATATTCCTTTGATATAGCACTGAGAAGACTTGCTATAACAGTGACTTGGATACCTTTGAGATAGGTATTTCTGAAATTCTGTAATGTTGAACCATCAATTTCTGGATCTTTCTGAGAAATCATTTCAAATGTCCTTAACATGCTGGCCTTGTCTCCCTTGCACCTAAGTTTAGACTTGCGGATCTTGAAGTCAACTTCTGGAGATAACATCAATAATAAATGATACAAGGGAAGTTCCCCGGTGTCTCAATTGTTTCACCCGTGTAAACTATTGAAATTGATTCAAAAATTGAATTGAAACGGAAATATTTATAGACGTCAAAATTTCATCCACGAGGAAATTCACTTTTCAAGTAAAAGGGAACTTGCTTTTTCAGAAATCCGTTGGGAGAATAAATAAATCGTATAATATTACATTGAGAAAATACAAACAATATCATTTGGAGAAGGTGTCATCTCCTACAGAAAATAAAATTAATTATTGATTCAAAAGTTAGCATCTGATAAACAATAAACGTCTATAATATCGGAGTGGCATTCGAATTAAAGTCTATTTTTGTGTTCTGAAAGGTGAGGAAGAAATTTGGATAAAGAAGTTGGAAAACTTCATTTTACTTACGAATTAGGATTAACATATTTAAAAGTTTGCGAAAGTTAAAAAGAAATGAATTGTCAGATCAAACCTGGTTGAAAAATATATGAGAATTTTAAAAATTGACCAATCTTTCTCAGTAATGATGGGTTTATTGTATACTTGTTCTATCAATTCGGAGTATATTGAGAAAAGTAGATATTTCACATTAATATATAGGACCTGATAAGTGATAACTTCTTTCCGAATTATAATGAAGGAAAACCAATTCAGAGGAGGTTGTATTTTGCAGGGTTATAGTAAAAGACTTTGATTAATGAGTTTAATTGATAAATGACCGGTATATGATTGAAAAATGCTGCTAAACTTAATTTAGTTCAATGAATTATTGCATATTCATATCCTGTAGTTGATTGGTTAACAGATTTGAGTAAAGCCTTCGTTCATCAATTCAAAACTGTCAAGTTGAAATTTTTATGTTGCAATCTAATAATCCTCATTAATGAATATTTTATTGATTTTTTTTTTAATTTATAAAATTCAAAATAAAATAATCTTTCAAATAAGGGTTTGGCCATCACAAAAATTGTTTGCTGGATGTTTATTTGTGATTCATTGTGAGTGCTACAAATAATATTTAGATCATCAAAAATTGAATACATAAAAAACTGCCAGGGAAATAATTTGATATGAATGTTCGAAAAATATATCATTAAACATTCTTCGATGATCAGGAATTTTAACATTTGGTGTGATTATTTTTTGTGATATGACGATTATTGGTTGTGTTATCAATTAGCGGTTCTTCGAAGAATATTTGAGAAGATTACTTTTATATACAAATTCATTAAATATCATGAACTATCCCCAATTCGCCTATAACCAATATTATGGACAAATCCCAATGCCAATGCAGCAGATGTACATTCCAATGCCACAGGAAGAACAAACAAAGAAAAACTACGTTGTCAAGGGCCCTTGGTTATTAGAAGAAGACGAGTGCCTTAGACGCGCCGTATCAATGTCCTCACCAATTCTCTGGGATGTTGTTGCAAAGTCCGTCAGAGGAAGAACTCCAAAGCAGTGCAGAGAAAGATGGATGTACAGACTTCAACCAGAATTAAAGAAGACTCACTTCGAAAAATGGGAAGATGAATTAATTTTTGAGCAAAAGAAGAAGATTGGCAACAGATGGACACAAATAGCACTTCAATTGCCAGGAAGAACATCATGCTCTGTTAAAAATAGATGGTATACTGTTTTACGTAACAAATATAGGGATGTTTCCGATGAAAACAACTCTTCTGACCATAATACTTGTCCTGCGGCCTATTCTATTGATTCCTTGTTGAATTCAAAGAATTTGTAAATTGTTTATTTTTTGTTTGGAAAATAATCGTTCTTTATTTTTAATTAGCGGATCTTTCTTTCAATTTTTTGAGTTATAAGATATTATTTTTAAGCCAAATAAAAATACTTTTTAGTTTGATTTTTACAAATTATTATTAGAATGGTTCAATAAATATATCAACGATATTGATTTTTTTGTTCTTTTGAATGAAATTTTATTGTCAACGTTTCAAAATATAAAAATGAGGTTATTTATTAATTACTTCGTTAATAATACATCGAATATATGTGGACTTCATAAAAAAAAGGTAGTGGGGCTTCCAGGCGCGTTGCGCCCTCTAGCCCTGAAGATGTTTAGTATAAATGAAGTTTTGTATTGCACGAAAACTCGGTTGACTTCACTTATCATACCATTATATAAAAACCATGAGAAAAATAATAGAGAGAACAAACTTAAGAAATGATTAATTATAAGCTACATTACAATATAACTTTGTCTTTCTTCATCTGGTATTGTTTATGATATAGCCCTTGAATATCACAAAATATAATCCAAGTTTAATTAGATGAATTAAGTTAGGTATTTTGTTTTATGCACTAATTAAATAACATCTGATTATACATATTTGAATCTTGGACTAAAATATGCTTTCTAATAAGTTGTGACGTTCAAGTCAACAATTTGATCAATCGCTGATATTGTATCTACACAATTTTAATCAAACAATATATAATTATATAAATTATTTTTCTTTTATCAAAAACATCTTCTAATTTTTGAAACCAATGACATTTAAGTAATATTTTAAATATAAAAGGCAGATAAACTCATTATACAGTTAGATATATGTACTAATATATTGCAGAATACATTCAGTAACTTATACTATATCAAATGAAAATATTTTAACCGAACCAAATACAATTATATTTAATCGATTATAAGTAGTCAAATCGAAATTATATTCACTCGAATACCAAAAAATATATATGCCTACATATTTAACTAAAATAATTGTATTTAACATAATTCAAAATGCATAAATAAATATGAAATATTGCGAAAAAAATGTTTTCATGATAAGTGAAGTCAACCGAGTTTTCGTGCAATACAGTATAAATGAAGTTTTTATTCGGAGGGCTTCCAGGCGCGTTGCGCCCTCTAACCCCGAAGATGTTTAGTATAAATGAAGTTTTTATTCGGAAAATTGTTAGTCTTCTGGGTCGAAAACATTATATAATGTGTCGCTTTTCACAAATTATATATGTTTTCATGTTTTGTCACTTTTCTGTCACTTTTCGGGTAAAAACATTTTTATTATTATATATAAATGAATTTTACAAAACCACCGTTACCGTTCTTTGGAAATAAGAGTAGATGTAAAGATATTATATTGAGAGAACTTAAGAAACTACCGAATGGTCTAACATTTGTAGATTTGTTCGGTGGAAGTTTCTATATATCCCATTTGTGCCATACAATATTCCCTGACTCAAAGATTATATGCAATGACTTCGACAACTATATGAACCGTCTTAAACATATTCCAGACACAAACAATATATTGAAAGAGTTAAAAGAAAAGATACCTATAGGTAAGATGGAACGTATACCATTAGATAAGAAAAATATTGTGAGAGAGGTTTTGAAAAAAGCAGAATATATAGACTGGGATAGTATATCTGCTAGACTATTATATAGTGGTTCTATAAGAGTTCATGACATTGAAACACTTATGTCAAAAGTTTTATATCTTAACTATACAAATGTTTTCAAAGAGGACATAGAAAAATATATTGAGGGTATAGAGTTTGTGAGATGTCATTGGACAGAGTTGTATGAAAAATATAAAGACAAGGAAAATGTTTTCTTTATAGTGGACCGCCGTTCTATAACACATGGAATTTTCAATACCAAGTAGACTGGACTTTGAGAGACTCTTTAGAAACTTTAGACGTTATACATAACCATCCATGCTTTTACTTTACATCCGATAAAAGTGGTTTGGAAACCGTTATGAGATGGTTAGAGGACATACATGACTATGAGTTTATATATGACAAGATAGAATATGAGAGAGGTCCTATAAACCGGAGAAAGTGTCACAATAAAGAAATTTTATTAGTAAGTAAATGTGGTTTGAAATAGGACTACTTGTTTTAGGTTTTTTCCATTGTGTCATTTATTTATTTGACGTGGCAGAAAAGTACACAGAATATGAAGATGAACCAATGCCTGCAAATGTTCAGCATATGTACTCGTAAGAGATATTTTTATCTAATATTAAATGGACGCACAGAACTTAGCGAATGCACAGCAACCTGGACAACCAAACCCAGAGAATATTCCAAATGAAGTTAGAATACAAACTGCAATGGCAAACTATGGTCAAGTGCCAACAGATGTACAAATGCAAACTGCCATGTCAAATGACGCTGCGTTAGGTTTGCCACCATGGTATGCAAATATGAGATGGAAAGAGTTTTATACAAACCCTGAAGTGGGATATAAACAACTTTATGCAGATGACGCGAACACAGAAGTTGACCCAGAATATGTTTTCTACCAGAGGAGAAACAGAATGTATGAGCTCCAGTTAAAGAATGCTATGGAACTCAACAGGAAACGTAAGAGACTAGGCGGACATTAGATTTTTACATATAGTAAAATGGGTTTCTTCAGTAGTATTGGAAACTTCTTCAGAAGAGTTGGAAGAGGTATATGGAATGGCGTCAAAACCGTAGGAAAAGGAATTTGGAACGGTGTCAAAAATATTGGTAAAAGAGTAGGTCAGTTCGTTGGTATTATACCTAAAGACCCTGAACCAGAAGAGCAAGCTCCTGTTATACAACAGCCTGAACCTGCACCACAGTCTAGTTGGCAACCAAATCCAACACCTCAACCGTATTAAAAAATTATATTTTTATCGTTCGATAGTAGTTGTATATGAAACTAAGTTCTAAGTAAAACGCATGGTATAATGGAATTATTCTTTTTCTTCCATCTGTAGTAAACCATACTTGAAAGTCTGAAATACTTCCACTTGGTGGTTCGTATAACTTTGTAGGTTTTTCGTAAAAGTGATTTGCCAAGCATAAGAAAGAGTTTTGGGCGCCAGAAAATGAAGCATGAACAATAATAGCATCTGGGTCGAAAATATTTTCATATGTTCCATTAGGGTTTTCGACTTCATAATAGTCCGGGTGTACTGGATATGCTGCAGGCTGATTTAACATCCTCATAAATCTATACCATGCCAAGTTGTTATATTTTGTAGAAATATAAACGTTTTCTCCAAGGTCTTCTATTTTATTGATTTTAACAGTTGCATTTTTCCTGTCATAAATAATATCGAGATGGTATTCTCCTTCGTCAATGTTATACTGGTTTGCATATTCAATATAGATGTCGTTTATTTTTTCTTGAAAAGCTTGAAGAGTTGTTTCTAAGTTTATAAGCAAACTAACTTGTAAAAGTTTTCCCTGTTCAAATTTCTCATACATACGTTTTTCTTTGTTATAGTATCGAACTTCAAAACCGACCGTAAATGGGAAACCATGTATGGCTTCTGAAATGAACTTCATTCTACGAAAGCCAATAGCTTTTGTGACGGATGGGTCTCTTAACCATCTTAATGGGTAGTCAAAACGATAGCCTTCATGCTTTACGGTATCTGTCTCAAACTTTTGACCTACATTAGTAAAAAGTTCATCTAATGGTTTAGTTGTAGCAACTCTTGAATTTTCTTTTTCTATTGGAAGCATATTTTATCTATAATAAAAATGTCAAATGAAGCAGCGTCTATGAGAGAAATACAACACAACCGACAACTCATTATGCAAGCTCTAAATAAGAACACAACAAACTTTTCAAACTATTCTAAGATATCTGAGTCATTGAAAGAAGGAAACTTAAAACTGACATTAAACCCAATGACAGATGAGTTTCTGTTTCAAGACAATAAGAACCATACTGTCTGTATAAATCCAACAAAAGGAACTTTAAACGAGAAACCTATAAATGAACTTCTTTTGAAAGCAGATGTTGACAACAAAGCTGACAAAGAATATGTCATTGAAAAAGTTCAAGAAGAACATGACAGAGCAGATGCAACATATGCAACAAAAGAGGATGTTGAAAATAAAGCTGACAAAGAAACTGTAGATATGTTGGCACAAACGGTTTCAAGTCATACCAGAGGTTTAATGGAAGATAGTGTCCATTTGCAAAGACTTGACATAGATGTTTCAAATAAAGCCGACAAAAATCATACACATAACATCTCTGACGTAAATGAACTTCAAGAAAAGTTAGATGGCAAAGCTGACAAAGAAACTGTAGATATGTTGGCACAAACGGTTTCAAGTCATGACAGAGCTTTAATGGAAGATGGACAACAGTTGAAAGAGCTTGAGAAAGGTGTTACAGAGTTAAGGAATACAAAAGCAGACTCGACATGGATAGCTGGATATGTAGATGCAACAAAAGAATATATTTTCGCATGGACAGAAGGAACATATCCACAAAAACATCATACACATAACATCTATGACGTAAATGAACTTCAAGAAAAGTTAGATGACATTATGCATCTAAGACAGGAACTCAATGTGCTTAAACAAATTTTGCCGAATCTTATTTACCCGGTTGGCTCATTATATGTTTCAATGAACTCTACCAGACCAGAAGTAGTACTTGGTTTTGGAACTTGGACTCAAATAGTCGACAGGTTTTTGTATTGTGCAAACTCTTCAAAGGAAACAGGTGGAAGTAAAACGATTTCAGGTGAAAATTTACCTGCGCACAGTCACTACATAGATTTAAGTACATCTCAAGCAGGTTGGCATAAGCATAGATATTGGGATTGGTCAGGAATGACAAAAGGTAAAGGATATGATGTTAAAGACGACGTTAAGTTTGCTATAAATTGTTACGGGAGTGACACTCAGGGAGAAGGAAACCATACACATTTTGTTTCAGGATATACACAAACAACGGGACAAAGTAAAGAATACATGCCACCTTACATGACAGTTTACGCATGGTATAGAATTGCTTAGTCGTCATTTTCAACTTCTTTAGCATATTCGTCAGGAGTTGTCTTATATTTGTTAGGAACTGTCTTTGAAAGTATACCACCTTGAACTTTGACAAGTTTGAAACGAGGTCTGGCAATAGTAGTTTTATCTTCTGCTTGCAGTGTGTACATTTTGCCATGTTTGCCTAAAACTTCATAATATTCTCTTGTATACTTTCTTCTATTTTTACGAACACGAATGTGAGTACCTGTCGGGTTCCCATTGTTGTCATAGTCAATAGTATTTTCATATGGGTCGCGTTTAGGTATTTCTATTTTTACTTTGTCACCTTTCTGAAGTTTGAAGCCCGGCATTCTTTCTTGTTTGTCTCTTTTGACTAAATTATTAAATATATAGTCTTTCTCTAAGTCAGGGTTGTTTTTCATTTCTTCGGGGGAGTGGTTTCCCAAACCTTTTTGTTTACGGTTATTGTAAATATTTAAAACTTGTCTCATCTTTGCCATGGAGAAGTGTCTATACTTGTCGTCATATGACATTTCATTTGCTTCACCACCTTGTGGTTGGTTTAAGTCTCTTAACATTTTTATACAACCGTCAATGACACCAAGAGCAGAATGGTTTTGGTCGACAATGAAATATTGGTTTACATTTTTTGAACGCAGATAGTTTTTTACATCATCTGATTTGAAAGAACTTTCACAGTCAGATGTCAGTTTTGTTGGATGGTATTTGTCAACGAATATTGTCAAAGCAGTTTTCACATCTAAAATATTTTTGGACCATAATGGTATGGCTTCACAGTATCTTGTGTTTTGACCAACAAATATTAACCAGTATGGAGGTCCATCTGTTCTAACTCTCGGAATGTTTTCCAAGATATCCATAAACCAAGCATTTGGTGTTGAACTAAAGATTTTTATCATGAGTGCTTTCTTTGTCGCTTTAGAAACATAGGGGTCCTTGTTCGGATTCGTCATTTTTTACCCTATAAGAAATGGGTTTATTTGGCGCATTAGCAGGAGTTGCATCCAGATTTTTGCCCGCAGTGGGAACAATAGCCAGAGGTGCATTTGGAGTTGGAAGGAAGATTTTGAGTACATTAGGTATACTGAAAGAGAAAGCACAACCTATTATACAAACTGTACAGAAAGGTTGGGATGTAGCACGAGATGCAACAAATCTTATTCCAAATCCTGAAACAAGAGGAAAAGTTCAAGGATGGATGGACAATGTAGGAAGACAAGCAGGAAACTATTATAACAAAGCAAATGACTACTATAACCAAGCAGGACACTATATGGACCAAGGTGAAAGATTCTTTAACAGAGGATATAACCATGCACAACAGTGGGTAAACAATAACCAATCTCAACCGCCTCAAACGTGGGGAATGTAAAGTTTTTTATTGAGATGAAATGAACAATGCAGCATTGAGACAAATGAGTTCAAGATGGATTTGTCGGCTTCCAGCATTTACACCACGTGTTTGTAAAGTTCTTCCTATACCTCAGGAAGTTTTAGACCGACTTAAAAAACCTAAACAACCAGTTGAAAACAAACCAAACTAAATTTTTTACTGAGATGAAATGAACAATGCAGCTTTAAACAGAATAAGTCATGGAAGACCACCTTTTACACCACGTGTTTGTAAAGTTCTTCCTATACCTCAGGAAGTTTTAGACCGACTTAAAAAGCCTAAACAACCAGTTGAAAACAAACCAAACTAAAATTTTTTACTGAGATGAAATGACCGAAGAAGTTGAAACGGTAGATTTGACACCACAAACAAAAAGTTCAGAACCATTGTCAAAACCTGTCAAAGAACTTACCGATGAAGAGAAAAATTCAATAATAGAAAGTGCCAGGTCTGGAAATACAAACCCTAACTACAAAGTCACTTTTCATAGAAATGGAACGGCTAGTATCTCAAAAAAGAAACAGACTCTCACAAATAAAATATTGAAGTCTGAAGGGCTTTCGAGACAACAGATGGAAAAGTTTACTTCATTGACCAACAGTTCATTATAGAACATCTCATTGACTTAGAGTCGAAATATTCTAAACTTTACAACAAACACAAAAAGTTGAAAGGAAAACAAAAACAAATGGCATATGATATTTATGAAGATGTTGACGACACAACTGTTCCTGCAAGTGAAGTAAAGTCAGAGGAACCGAAAAGTGACGAAAAACCGATAGAAGAAGAAAAACCAAAAACTGAAGATAAACCAAAACCAAAGTTTAGTTTCCAAACTAAACCAAGTCAACCTTCATTAGCTGGTATGGGTTGGCGTCAAAGACTTATGGCAGCAGGCGGTTATGTAAAGTAAAGAAAAAAAATATTTTTTTATTTTTATAAAAATGCCCCCATATAGAATGGACAGAAAGTCTGCTAGAATAAAAGCAGAGTTACAAAGATATGGTTGGAGAGTTTCGAAGAATTTTAAATATAGGAAGGGAAGACCCATAAAAGTCTATGACAAATTGTCTGGTCTTCGCTACGAAATGGATTTGGAAACAGCACGTGCCAATTATCCAAACAGACTAGAGAGGTTAGAAGAAGAACGTCTTATGGACATGCCTTTCGATGTTAGTGAACCTCAAGTTGAAGGACACGACGGCTTTGCCAGATTCTACTGGAAACATGACGAACAATTGCATCCTTTGAGAAGGAAAAAAGGAAAAGGTGAAGACACACATGCTCCCATGGAAAGAACAAGATATGCATATGAAAAGTATCGTGAAGTTAGAAGTCAAATTACATCTGGTCGAACCTTTACAGTAAACTTTGACGAAGGAAAGAACAAAGAAGGCTTCATGGGTGTACTTGCTGCCATACAAGACGGAAATAAGAAAGGACACAATCTCAGATTGACCATAACAGATTTGGATGGTCACATTTACTATGCACATGGCAATGAACAAACAGCCGCAAAACTTCTTGACGCTTTCAAGACTACAAAGAGAGAACAAATGGTTGACTCCGACTCAGACATTTTGAATGCAATTGAAGGAATTGCAAGTGTCAAGTTCGAATGGTACCAACCTAACCCTCAAGCAGTCAGACAACATGCTGGATACTTCCCCTTCATAAATAAGTCTGATATTGACTTGACAAGGTATGGAATTTACAATTCAATTGAAACAATTGTCAATGAACCTTGCATTCTTACATGTCTCAGGAACTCTGGTCTTGTTACAGATGAGAAGATGAAGTATCTTGAGTCATGTGTGAAGACAAGGTACATTCTCAGAGGTCAATTGGCAAAAATTGCACCGTTGGCAAATGTCAATATCCGAGTCAACATACCTACAGCTAAAGGTTCTTCACATGACGACTATGTTGTTGACAAAGACTTACCATGGTTGAAGATTGTAATTGTCCACAACCACTTCATGTTGAACGAAAGTCTTACAAACCCATTCTTTGGTAAAAGCAAGTGCAACATTGTCAGAGCTGTAAACATTCTTTTCGAGAAAGGTTTGTTGGAACCAATTCCAGATGACAAGCTGACAGAAACTTTTGTACCAAAAGACGAAACAAACTTTTCATTGTTAGCAAGACCAAAAGTTGTTCCAGACAAAGTTCTAGTACAAAAGAAGTACACGGTTCCACAAGGGGTTGGTATGTTCGGATACCAACCTGAACCAGAAGAACTTCCAATGAGGTTGCAAGAACTTCAAGATGCTATAAACAAACTTCCATTGAGACATCCAATTGACGTCAAATTGTATTGGAGAGCATCTGAGTTAGGTCAGAAGGTTTTATATGAAACAGGTTGCTTCGACGATGTTTATGAGATAACAGGAGAAGTTTCTCAGAAGATAAGAGACTCACTTGAATTTCCACAAACTGGACCAATTGGTTGCGACAAGTTCGACTCAGATGAAAAGATATACTATGTCGACCTTAACGCTGCATACATGAGGTTTGTCCAATATATTCCGACTGGAATTCCAAACGAAGATGGTGAGTTCCCGGGAAGGAACTATACAGTTGGAAAAGTCATACAACAACTGTATGATATTAGGAAAGCTTCAAACCCCAAACTTGCAATGACACTCAAATTGCTTATGAATTCGACATGGGGATATTCCATTAAGAAACCTCAAGAGATGAAGAGTAAACATTATGAGAAGGTCGACAACTTTGTTGAAAGGTTTTCTCCTTTTGTTTTGAAGTACGAATTCACTCAAGGTCAAAGTGGCTTAGTAACCACATTAAAACCTATTGTCGAACATTGGTCTTACCCTCAGTTCGCAAAGGCAGTCCTTGACAACTACAACAAATTCTTCTCCGAAGTCAAATCCAAAGTTGTGGTTTACTATGAGAACATTGACGCACTCATGACGAACGAAGAAGGCTATAACAAACTCATTGAAATGGGAATGGTCGGTGAAAAGATGGGCTGTTTTAAGCTAGATAAGGTATTTTCCGAAGTTCATGTAATATCGAAAAGGAAATATTGGGGCATACTTGAAGACGGCACAGAAATAAAACATTGCATGAAGTAAAAATTTATTTTTAAAAAAAGTGACATTTTTTTAATTTATTTGAAATGTACGCTGAGTTTGTTGGAGAAGACCGTTGGGAAACTTGTTTGTTAGATGAGAAATATGAAATGGCATACCATTTTAAAACAATATATTTTTACATATATTAAATGCTTCAGGTTGAAAAACAAAGAACAAAAGTAGCAGATACAAAACCGTTAGACTATATCTTTACAAATGCTGGTAGGACTATTTCTGATGAAGAAATTTCATCCCGAGCATACAGGTTTGACTATCCAATTCGTTGGCTTCAAAGTCCTTCAGATGCAAAGGCAATAGGATTTAGAAGAGTTTTGTTTTCAAATAGAACTAACGCATTTATGTTCGCAGTATATTTTCATGGGCAGTATGAAGGTTCTGATGGTCTAATAGACAAATTTGACGAAATGAGAATCTTTACAGTTCGTTCAGACGAAAGTCTTGAGAAAACTCTAGATGACTTTCAAACTCAAATGAACAAATATTATTGGGAATTTCAAGAAAAATACGACTCTTTACTAAATGGAACATACTATCTGAAACTAGAATATGACAAGATGAACTCCACCGTTTCATTTCAAAAGATTGAAATTAACCCTCCAAGAGATACAGAGTTTTTATTTTGGGAAGTAGACAAACGTTCTTGGGCACAATTTCTTCGGTTACTAAACCAGAACGAACCATTGTTGTAAACGAAAACGATAAAAACGGTTTGACAGAAAAATTGACACTTTACATGGCAAAAATAGAGCCTTACTTTTGAGATACTTGAGATTGAAACTGAATCTTATGAGGCGGTGATCTTGAATCACTACCTCATAAGGTTCGGTTTCATATAAAATTTGTTGCAATTTGTTATTCTTTTGCAATTATTTCTTATAAGATTTTACATCTTTTAGCGGGGAATGTTTGTTATCATGTATATATTATAAATATCTACACGATAACGAACATTCCTCGCTAAATTGCTGAGAAACTTCGAGGAAATGTCGAACAATTTCCTCAAAGTTTCTCAGATTTATATAGATAACTAGAGTCCCCTAGGCACTGATTCTGGTTCAGTACCTAAGAGGCTCTAGTTCTCTAACGAACTGATAAAATGTTTTTAAATTTTTGGATATTGCTACCTGTGAAGCACTGACTTCAAGTCAGTACCTCACAGGTAGCAATTACATTGAAAGATGGGAGAAACTTTGTCCGAATGTTAAACTATTCGGACAAAGTTTCTCCCATTTGTAGTGGAGATGGAAGGCTTTGAGGTATATTATATTAATGTATACCCCAAAGCCTTCCATCTCCACTTGAAAGTTCCAAAACTTTGGGTTAATAGTTTGCAATTAACCCAAAGTTTTGGAACTTTCTAGAAGGAATTGCAGGGTAAGAGGTACATATTCATACTATGTACCTCTTACCCTCCAATTCCTTCCTTAACATAAACAAATTTGGAGTTAATTGTTTCCAATTAACTCCGGGTTTGTTGACCTCCAAATGAAAATGAAAGGGTAAGAGGTATATAGTGACCCTATATGCCTCTTACCCTTTCATTCTCATTAATTATGGGAGAAACTTTGGCCGAATGTTAAATTATTCGACCAAAGTTTCTCCCATTTTTTGAAGGGATTGGAGGCTATGAGATACTGATGCAATGTCAGTACCTCATGGCCTCCAATTCCATCCTGAAACTGATCAAAGTGGACCTTACATGCATTTGAAATTTGCCATGTAAAGTCCACTTTTTGAGAGAGAGTATTTGACTCTGTCAAATCCTCTTTTTCGTTTACGAGACCATTACCACCAGATGGTCCATTTAAATTTATACTTCCACCAGCAGATTTGATGGTTTATAGAAACGTGTTTGACCCTCAAAATGTTATGTGTCATGCAAGTTTCAGTTCAAGCAACAATAGTTTTCTATGTATTGGTAAGGACCTTTATGACTTTGCTTCTAAATTCTACGAACCACCTAGTAACAGTTTCTCTGACTTTCAAGTTTGGTTCACAACAAATGGTGTGCAACATATTATTCCATTGTACTATGACTTTTATCTCGAATTGTCTTTCATATATAACTACGGAAAAGTGCTGAAAAAGTATTGAATGTGAAGATATTAGAAAATAACATTTTTTCTAACATCGTAGAAAACTCATGAAAACAATTTATTTTTGACACTTTCACAAAAAACATAAAAAAAGTGAGTTAAAATGAGATGTTTACTGAACTGGTTGGATGTCGCCTTCACAGGTTATGTAGAATGGTTGACCAGAGAAGTGAAGGAGACCCTTGAGAATTTGGTTCATTCTTGGGAAAGGGTTCTCTCTGTTTGGAAGTAGTATCCAAGGACGCTTGGCAAAGAACTTTATAATGGCTTCCTTCTTTGCTTGCTTTATGTCGTCGTAGGCTGTCCCGTCTGGTATTTGAATTGGAATTCCAGTCGAAGTCTCGAGATTCAAGGCAGCCCTTCCCGTTATCCAACCGTTAACAAGCTTGCCTTTAACATTCTGCCTGAGGAAGTCTTTAACAAGCTCGTTAATTTCAATTAGGTAAATTGCCTCGTCGGTAGGTTCGACCTCGACCATTGCTACTGTCAGAAAAAGTACTGCTACTGTCAGTAAAAGTACTGCTAGGAGCAGAAAAACTACTGCTACTGTCAGTAAAAAGGAAAATTTGAGAGGGTTTTCGATGATAAAGTACTGCTACTGTCAGTAAAAGTACTGCTACTGTCAGAAAAAGTACTGCTACTGTCAGAAAAAGTACTGCTACTGTCAGTAAAAGTACTGCTACTGTCAGTAAAAGTACTGCTAGTAGCAGAGATTTTTATCGTTGTGGTCCGACGGCTAAGCCACAAACGAATGTCCGACGTCCCACCAACCGAGTCCATTCCCAAACCAGAGGAACCTAAAGAACCACAACAGTCTCCTCAGCAACCTCAGTTCCAGCAAGTACCTCCGAATTACTACCAATTTCCACCTCAAGGTTACTACCCACCACAAGGCTTCCCGAACTACCCTCCTCAGCCTATGCCTTACTGCCCCAACCCTTGGTTGTTCCAGCAAGCTCCACCCAAGCAATTCCAATTCCAATCTCAGTCCAAGAGAGACCAAGACTTCGAAGAAGGTCTGAACCGCTTACGCAAAGAGTATGCTACAGCTCCAATTGAGAGAAAGTTGTTCCCGGACCAAAAAATAATGTTTAGGGTAGATGGTTAGATCTAACCTCATTTCTAACCCGATTTCTACCCTCTTGAATTTTCATGAATTTTATATATTAATGTTTTCGTTAAGGCACTTTGTGCCGTCAGTCAGTCAGTCAGTCAGTTTAGGAAAGACTTTAGAAAGTTGTTGGAAAATAAGTCCTGGGAAGAGTATTATAAGGCATTTTGTGAAGAATATAGCAACAGTCTGAATTCCGGCGGTTGCTTTTTATACAAAATTCATGCAGGAAATTCTTGAGTTTTGGTTGAAAGAATACGGTGGAGCCAAAAGTGGTTCGACCTCAAAACAAGCATTTTATGAGCTTACAAAGGGTGTTATGAATGAATTCAAAGGTATTTACATACATCCTGACCTCGTTCATTTTGTTGCTGAATTCAGCAAAAATAATGTTTAGGGTAGATGGTTAGATCTAACCCGATTTCTACCCTCATGAATTTTCATGAATTTCCTTAAGATAGAAAAAATAAAGTTAGTTTTATTTTTATTTATTTTTTTATTTTGTATGTAAGATATGATTTCAACAATCGGCACAACAACAATTCAAACAACTACAGCACCAAACTCGTTAGTCATGAATCCAACATCTATGTTAGTAGAAATGAAAAGCTTCATTCCTTCTTCATTTACTTTCGAAACAGAAATACAAAGAATAAAGCAGGAACTTTTAACAAGTAATTTAGACTGTAGTGCGAAAGATGAAACAAATGAAGAATATCTTTATGAAATGCAGGACTTATTGACCATTTACCCAACTTGTCTGAAATCCAACAACAAAAGCTCACTATTCCTGAATTCGATGAAATTGAAGTCAAAGCAACTGACTCAGTAGAAATAAAGAAGTTCATTCGTAAGGTAAACTATGAATTCCTTGGTTTTCATTGCAACCATAAAGTTATGGACAAAGATTGCGACATGTTATATAAGAACATCTCTGACATATATAAATCTGGGGAGTTTAAGACATACGACAACTTTGTTTCATTAGCTGCAAAATGTGTATGGCAGATAAGAGATAAAGATAGAAGAGGTAAGGTATGGCATGAACAGATAAAACCAACTGCTTCAGATTTAAAGAAAACCATTGACGCCTTGGTTGTTTTAGCAGGTAAGGTTTCAATGTATAACGCAAAAATGAACCCGCAATGTTCTAAATGTAAAGCAGCAATTAGGAAATATAACTACTCAGTCAAAGAGATAGAAAGAATGCGAAACGACTATGCAGACTTAAAGAAAGAAGCAGAGAAGCCGGTAGAAGATAAAATGGACATGTCAGAATTTCTGAATAAAAACTATCCAACTGCTGACGATTTCCTTCTATCTGACGTCAAGAAGAAGTATAAAGAAACTTTCGGCATTGTTAAAACATTCGATGTACTAAAAGAAGAAATAGAAGCTACAAAACTGTTTAGAGTCTCACGAATTCATAACGTTTACCATGTGAAACGTTTATAAAATAACTGGGGTAGAAATGAGGGCAGATATCGGGTTAGATCTAACCATCTACCCTAAACATTATTTTTGCTGAATTCAGCACAAAAATCATGAATTTCCTTAAGATAGAAAAAATAAAGTTAGTTTTATTTTTATTTATTTTTTTATTTTGTATGTAAAGACAGTAATGTCAACATCAGAGAACACAACAACAGTTATAGTCCATGAAGCTATAAATGAAGAATACGAGTACATACAGTTTAACAAACAACTCCGTCTCATTCGTTCGGTCAAAGACGATATGTACCAAATGCAAAGTATTTTGACAGCATGTTTTGCACCCGACAATAAGAAACCACAAGACTGGTTTAGGAACCAAAGCACTATTGAACTATTAAATGAAGCTGAAAATTCGACTACTGGATTTCTCGTAGTCGCAAAAACTCGAGTGGGAGAAAAACCCCAGTCGCCAAAACTCTATGAAAATCGTGAAAAATTGCCAAACGGTTTGAGAGGATATTATGTACATAGACTTCTTGTAAATGCTGTTGCAATGTGGGCTTCGCCTCGTTATGCTTGGTATATTTACAGACTTCTTGACGAAATTCATAGACAAGAACGTGAAGAGATGGAAAAGAAACTTCATGCAAAAGATGAAGTCATTGAAGCAAAAGACAAAAGCATTCAGAAAAGAATACCACGTTCGGTACCAAAAGGAAAGGAAAAGAACTATAAGTATATGATTTATACTGAAGAGTTGGAAAATGAAGAAGATAAAGATATGGTTATGTTGCATTTAGTCAGAAGAAACAACAAAAGCTTTTACGACCTTGCTAAGATTTACAAATCTGACAGAAATTGGTTCTATCGCGAAAACTTACCGATTTCAATGACCCCAAATGAAGATGTGAAACAAATAGTTCAAGATACGTTACCTCAAACACACTATGATATGAAAGGTTGTACAATACTTACCTTCAAAGAAGACTTACCGCTACTGAAAGAAAAAATAACAGAGTATTTTGACAACTTCAAACAAGTAGGGTAGATGAACCATTTATTTTTATTGACTTTTTACAATTTGAACTTTGTTTGCGTAGATATGAATTCTGAAAGAAGTATGAGGGTCTTGTATGACTTTGTACTTCTCCCATAGTTCATGTCTGTCAAACTTACCTGCCATGGACTCTTTCATAAGTTCCATGAAATCGTCTTCGGACAATCCGGGGAAAAGTATTATGTCAGTAAGTATTCTTTTAACATCCTTACTTAAACTCTTTGCTGTCTGTACACAAATGACAACTGAGATGTTAAAGTGTCTGAGCTTCTTAAGAATTCGACACATATCTTGTTCTCTATTCTTTAACAAAGGATGAGAGGCGAAATCATCTAAGATAAGAAGACATCTATGAGGGTAAGTCTTCCAATCGTAAGATTGCAATTTCTTCGAAATGTATTCTATCTCTTTCTGTTTGTTTCTGAAGTGTTTCTTCTCTAATATTCTCTGCATTTCCTCATTTGGGTCTTTAAACTTAGAATTTATATACTCATTTATAGCATTATACTTCAAAACTCTTCTTTGGTACTTCTTTATCCAATCTAACAACTCAGTATCCTTTATACATACTAACTTAGACTTCTTTATAATATCTTTGAACGAATTGACGGTTTGGTCAAATTGACCAGAAGTACTACAAATGACTACTAACTCATAGAATGGGTTCTTCTCATCTAGTTCTTGTTGTTGTGCAGCCATTTTAAGATAAGTGAAAGTCTTACCAGACCCAGGTGGTGCAATTATACCTGTTATACCATTCTGAGCAAATAAGAACTTGTCATGTATAGGCTTTATCTGAGCATTTTCTAACTTCCTCTTGTTCTTGTTTAAAACATTCTCAAATTTCTTGTCAATGTCAGCAAACTTTTTTTCTAACATATTTTTAGAAAAATTAAAATTTTTATCTTTTAGAAAATGTCTAGCGATTTCGCTATCTATATTCGAGACAAACTTTTTGACAGCAAAACATCTGTCGACCATAAAATCTTACATAGTGTAAACAAGAAAGGTGAATTTGTTCTAAAGTTCTGTTTCTGGGAATATGACAAGAACCATAAAACATTACAAAGAGCAGTCTTAAAATTTGTCAATGACAGACTTGTTGACAGAGATGACGCCGATTGGAAAGATGAAGTCCAACAAAAGTTCTTAGAATGCAAAGAAGACACATGCGCTGTTCTTGAAGATGAAATAGAAAACAGAATAGATGAGCTATTAAAGGACAAAGAACTTTTACATAAATATGGTTCTGAGAAATTTGACATAACTTCACCAGAGAAGAAGAAGAAAGAAAAGAAACAGAAAAAAGAAGAAGAGAAGAAAGAACCTGAACCAGTTCCAGAGAAAAAGAAATTTGACATGTAAAAATAAAATTTTATTTTTAGAACATTTCTGGGTCAATGTCAATGTTCTCTTCCTCTTTAGGAGTAAACACTGGCTTAGACTCTAAAATCTTTTTACCCAATTTACCTTGAACTTCTACAACTTTAGACTCATAATATTCATAGTCGTCTGTCTTCTTTGGTTCATAAGGTATAACAAGTTTGTATGCTTTGCCTTCTTTAAGGTTTGAGAACCTTCTGTCAAAACTTTCTTTGACTGTTAACAAACCTTCTATGTCTAAGTCTTCAAATTTCGCACCATTTTTAGTCACAATAGCAAACTTAACTGGTTCGATGTTCCAAACTTTGCTGAATGAAGACTTTTCAAAATGGTAGAAGTAAACATTCAAATATGTGAATGGGTCTAGTTCTTCTTTAAGTCCTGACATGTACTTGTTTACTGAAATATATTTCGTCATCTTTTCTATCGGATAAAAAATATTTTTTTTAAATTTACTCAGAAAAATTTTTCTTTGTATATACACCATTCTGTACGTCTAAAAGACTTTTGACATTTGCCAAGAATGTACGTTTAGAAGCTGCCATATAACCATACTCTTGACAATATTGTTTATACGAATCGTACAATGACCTTTCATCTAATGACACAAAGTCGCTTTCTTCTATGAACAGTTCATATACACTCTTGTTTGCTTCTAACAATGTTTGTCTCTCTTCGGTATGTGGAATTTGTCTTGGATTGAACTTTGAAATATCTAATGTCATAAAGTATGAAAACAAATGGTTGTAAAACTCAGGTGTCAAATATTCTGACAAGGCGTCAAAATATTCTGTATCTTGCATATGAGAATCTGACGTTCTGACAACTACATATCTTCTGTCAGAACTTTCTAACTTCATCGGAACAGCATTGTTTGAAACCATAATGAAGTTTGCAACATTCTCACAAACTCTTGAGTCTTTATACTTTCTTTCAACAACTCCAACTTTATCTGTTATAAGACTCTTCAAAGCATCTGAGTTTAAAACTTTTGTTGTATCTATACTTTGAAGTTCATTGCAAACTATAAGCAAATAAATTTTAATGAAATGTTGTGGTCGTCAAATATTTTTATAACGTCTGGGAAACTATATTTTAAGTTCAACGTTTCACCTCCTTTCATAACGTATATCTTGTCAATGACATTATATGAAACACCACAGCAACTAATGTCGGGTTCGATTTCTTTGATGTTTATATCGTCTGCCTCTGTCAAAAGTTTCAATAGTTCTTTCAAAACTTCATGAGGTGCAATGACATATGAGTTCACTTTTACAGGGTTGTGTTCGACCAAGTTTAACATTATACTTAAAGCTTGACAAATCTTCTCCTGAGTTTGAAGTTTGTCTTTCAGTTGTTGTAGTCGTTTCGAATATCTGCAACAGAACTTAAGTCTCTGTTAACTTCAGGATATGTTGGTTTTTTTACAGGAACAATTGTTATACCATCTTCGTCTTCGTATGGTTTCCCACTCAACATCTCTGTCTTTGACATTGACAATAACACTTTGACTGTTGTTTGAGTTGGTGAATTTAACTTCACATCTGCCACCGCCATTAAACCTTTTGAAACACTTACGCTTCTATTTTTCGGAAATGACATTTTACTTAGAATAAAAAGATGGACGTATTCGGATATCTTATTGAATTGAAGCAGAACAAAGTTTATACTCACAAACAATACAAATACATTGACAGAATAGTTCTTTACACAAACAATGGAAAATGTTATAGAATAGCAGTCTTTGCTGAACCTAAATATTTTCATAAAGCAAAGAAAGTTGGTTTATAACTGAAATGGTGAAAGTTCTTGAAGCAGACAAAAAATAACTTCAAAACTTACAGATATTACTAAAGGAAAGTTTTATAATACAATATTATGTCAAAACTGGGTACTGTCAATATTTGACGGAGAGAAGTCAGTTCAAAACAACTTACTGACCTGCTGCCAAAATCTGCTCGATGGAAGCTGTCGTTATGCCAATCTGAGGAGCCCCAGCAGGTTTCATCGAACGAATCTTCAAAAGAGCATCTTCCGTGAAAAGTGCTATTGGTTTTGTAAACTTCTTTGCTCTCAATTCATCTGGACCGTCTCTGTCACCAGTATATTGTATTTGTACAGTACCAACAGTTGAAATACCACCCATAAAGTCTTCTGAGTCAGCAAATGGAATACCAAGCCAAAAGTTTGAACGGTCTCCATTTGTATATTGAGTTTTTTGACCTCCTGTATGAGTCCATACTTTCACATATGGCATAATAGAACTTTGCATTTCAGGGTTAATAGTTGTTGTGAAGTTGTTGTTAAAGTTCATAGCATCTAATGTCAAGTTGTATGACCTCATGTAGAATATTCTTCTCTTGGATAATATTTACCATCTATGTTTATATGATATTTAATACCAGGGTTGTAGAAACAAGAATAGTCATTTATAGTTCGTCTGAACAGTACAACATAGTATCTGCATGTTTCATTGCAGTTGTTAAAGCAATATCTGTTCTTGCACCTGCGGCTCCTGGATTTTGGTTTCCAACTTCACCTGCAAAGTCTTTGACAGATATTTGGTGTATAGGGAACATAA